AAAACACTGACAGAATCCATGGATGGCAGGCTTTTGAGTGTCCTTGCAAAGAAAGGTGGCTATATTGGTCACTGATTTGTTTTTGTTTTGTTTTTGAATGTCAGAAATGTATATTTGTGAATGTTGAGATGTTATATTGGTTTCACTGGTAATAATAAATAATTGAAATGGGTATATATTTGTTTTTTGTTAAGTTGCCTAATAATTATGCACAGTAATAGTCACCTGCACACACAGATATCCCCCTAACATAGCTATAACTAAAAACAAACTAAAAACTACTTCCAAAAATATTCAGCTTTGATATTAATGAGGTTTTTGGGTTCATTGAGAACATGGTTGTTGTTCAATAATAAAATTAATCCTCAAAAATACAACTTGCCTAATAATTCTGCACTCCCTGTATTAGTAGCAGTACTGCGCAATCATTTCTTCTTTTCATCCCCCCCTTCAGGACAAGCATTAACAGGGGTGGGTCGCCTAAATGGACCCAGAAGTGATCCATACCAGAGCTGGGTCACAAGCTCTGTTTGTGAGTTTATATAGCAATTTCTGTTTTAAATACCATTCAGTTATATACTGTCTACACTATATTTGATTGTCTTTTATAGATACCTACCTGCTTGATATTCAGGTGAAAAACTCCTCTTAAACTGCCAAAGGTGATAACCTATTTATTATAGAAGCGCTACATTCTTTTCTCGTTTGCAAAATATGGTATTTGTTACAGTGCGTTTAAAACAGTTGAGCAGGGAATGCTCATGTAGTGAAACATGTCAGAAATTCTGACAGAAGATATTTACAAGTGACATTATTGCAATTGAAATGTGTATGTCCCTCTTGCTTCTGACCTGCATCAATATGTTGACTATAGGAAGTTTGCCTGCTCGTTATCTTTGAGTGATCATACTGTGCAAGTATAACTCAGCTCGTTTTTAAATGTACATTTTAAACATTTCATACTCAAGCATTACAGCAGGTAATGTTGAATTTGTCACATTGTTTATTTACCTACAGTACACACTTTATTTATAGTGATTTAAAGAGACACTATAATCACAAAAACAACTTTACCTTACAGAAGCAGTGTTTGTGAATAATGTCCCTGAAATCATACCGGTCAATCCAGCCATTTAGGAGTTCACTGTCGTTTCTGTCCAAGCAGCCATAAACACACTTCCCCTAGCAGTGACTGACACAGCTTGCATGAAAAGTAAAAAAAAAATGGTTTCATTCTCAATCAGAAGTTAACTAGATGTTTTTATGTCCAGCACTGTAAATGTAACTATTCCCACACAAGAGACTCCTGCAAGTCTAAAACTATTTACTGTCAGAAATTCTAAATTAAACAGACGGTACAATAAAGGAAGTATAAACATATCTCACTTTAGAGGACGTGTTTAGGAAGACTAAGTCTGTGTGACTAAACTTGCATAAACAAAGTTACATAGACTGAAATGAGACATACAAGCATCAAGTTCAGCCTCTCTCACATCCGTTTTTGCTGTAGATAAAAGAAAAATAATAATTTGAAGCACTTTCAAATAATGAATCAGATCTCGCCTTAGATCAAGAAGCTATTAACCCCACAAATTAAAAATTATATTCCTGAATTTATACATGCAAATATGTTTTTGCAAGTATTCAGTTGCTTTTTAAACATTGGTACATACTCTGATAAAAAAAAAAAAACAAAAAAAACCTTTACAAGTCAGATCATTCTACATCCTTCGTGTTCTTACTGTTAAAAACCCTTTTTGTTTGCTTTAGTCTAAATCTCCTTTCTTCCAGTAAAAAATATGTGTGTCCTATGTTATAGCCCTGTTCATGAATAGGTTTACAGACAATTGTTTGTATGGACCTCAAATATTTTTATAGAATGCCATCATATCCCCTTTGAGGCACTGGCGGATCCAGGGGGGGGGCAACGGGGCAATTGCCCCCCCCCCGAGAAATCCGCCGGTCTCCCTCTCCCTCCCCTGCCAGGACATGCAGGTGCCAGCCCTGCAATGTGCCTGCGGACCGGAGGGGAGATCAGAGATCTCCCTCCCCGGTCCGCAGGCACTGTGCTGAGAGCCGGCAGGGGAGGGAGAGGGAGGACCCGGGAGCTCAGTCTGCAGCTCCTCCGGGTCCTCCTCTCGCGAGATTTGGAGCGTTGCCGCGGTTACCACGGCAACGCTCCAAATCTCGCGAGAGTGAACTCTAGCCCGGGAGCGCGGGCTAGAGTTCACTCTCCCCACTGGGACCACCAGGGAATCACCACTGGGACCACCAGGGATCGAAATATGTCCCCCCTCCTCCCCAGTAAAGGTAAGAAGGGAGGGGATTTTTTTTTTTTTAAATTAAATAAAGATATATATTAAAAAAAGCCCCCCCTACCCTTAACACACACACACACACACATAGCCCCCATACACACATACTGCCCCCCCCATACACACATACTGCCCCCCATGCACACATACTGCCCTCATACACACATACTGCCCCCCATACACACACACTGCCCCCCATACACTGCCGTCCCATACACACACATTGCCCACATTCACACACACACTGCAACTGTTACACACACATACTGTCCCACACATACACTGCATCCCTGACATACACTGCCCCGCCTACTCACACACTACAACCTTCACACACACACACTGCTCACACACTGTCCCCCTCACACACACACACACACACTGTACCCCTTACACATTGCACCACTCACACACACCACTGCTCCTATGCCCTACTACAGCCCCATTTCCCAGCAGACCTCAGGTAAGTTGTCAAACTGTTCTTAAGCGGTTTGACTACTTACTCTGGGAGGGGGTCCCGGCACTATTGACACCATAACCACTACACTGAGCTGTAGTAGTTATTGTGTCTGGATTATTTCTTTAAATAATCTACAAGTGCCCCTCCCGAGATCAGGCTCTGGATCCGCCACTGCTTTGAGGTGCCATCTTTCCAAACATAATTGCACAGCATAGTCGAGGTGTGGTCTAACCATTGATTTAAAAAGTGGAAAAATTATATTTTCATCCAAGAATTAGACACTTTTGAACATGACAAGACCTTACTGGCCTTAGCAACTGCTGACTGACATTGCACATTGTTGTCCAGTTAACGGTCTGTAACAATTCCCAAATTCTTCTTGTGCGTTCTCTCTTTCACTGTTGTTTAGAGCAGCGGTGCCCAAGGTTTGCCTCGCTCTCCTCGGCAGGACCGGAGGGGAGATCAGAAATCTCCCTCACCGGCCCACTAGCACTGTAATGCTGGCAGCCGGCAAGGGAGTGAGAGAAGACCCGGGGAGCTCTAATTTGCAGCTCCACCGGGCTCTTCTCTCGCAAGTTATCTCTAGCCTCAGGAGCTGCTAGAGTGCACTCTCACCACTGGGATCATCAGGGCTTCTACATTGGATCACCAGGGATTAGTACGGTCCCCCCTCCCATGCAAAGGTAAGGGGGGGGGGGTGGGGGGAATTTGTACATATTTTTTGTTTTTTATAATATATATTTTTATTAATCTCCCCTCCTGAGTTTCTGCAGCACCTTGTCTTTAATCATCCAATAACAATGTCCTGCAAGTTTCTTGCAGCAATCATTTGCATGTCTCTTGCCATAGGTTACTACTTAGGGGGACATTATAGTCACCAGAACTACAGCTTATATGATAATTCTGTTCAGCCTTTTTGCAGTAAATACAGTCTTTTCAGAGAAAATGCAGTGTTTACATTACAGCCTAGTGATAACTCCACTGGCCACTCTTCAGATGGCTACTAGAGGTGCTTCCTGGGGCAGAGATGCCCAGTGTGCAGCACTGCCATTCAGCATCTCCACTCTCTGCATTGAGACACTGAACTTTCCTCATAGAAATGCATTGATTCAATGCATCTCTATGAGGAGATGCTGATTGGCCAGAGCTGTGTTTGACTTGTGCTGGCTCTGCCTCTGATCTGCCTCCTTGACAGTCTCAGCCAATCCTCTGTGGAAGCATTGTGATTCGCTTAGAACACCACTTCTGATAATGTCAGCCAAGCATGCAGATCAGGGGCAGAGCCAGCAGCTGCAGACTTGAATACAAGTAAGATTTTACTATATTTAGTGAGACAAGGGGGGAGCCAAATGATGGTTTTAACACTATAGGGTCAGGAATACACATTTGTGTTCCTTTAATATAAACAGAAGAAAAAAAAAAAAACACAACAACTTTATTTAAAGTTTCTATCTTTTCTTGATCTTCATTAACCAACATATCCATCTCTGTTTTCAGTGTACCTACACTTTACATTTTATTAAAGAATGTATGTAGTTATAACAAATTAACTCCTAAATGGCAGAGACTTGAACAGTCAGACTGTAAGGGCATGATCTATACACCAAAACTATTAGGCTAAAGTTGTTTCTTCCTATCGTGCCCTTTCAATCAAATCCAGCCTGGTACTTCCTACATACGAACGGGGAAAAAAATAAAAAAAAAAATACAATGCTTAACAGAAATACATGAAGATATGAAAACATTACTATAATAAAGACAATATTAAGATTTTCACACTAGGCCTCACATTTCATTCTACTCTGATTCATTAGATCTATGCAGTTTTTCATATGGAAAGTACTAAAGTACTGGAATAGCTATACTGAGCTTTTGAATGTTTAGTTGCTTTTGAATGAAATTATTCATAGCATTATGCTATGGATATCTAAGGACTCATTCTGCAGTGCTAAGTTAGAGGACAACTGTCCTGTCACTTCATTTTTTTTTTTTTTTTTTTTTTTAAAGAGTATTACATTTTATGAAACCGATTCTTTTTTATTTATTTTTTTAAATATACCATTTCACTTTTTTTCTGGCTAAAGCCATTTTGTGTCAGGTTCTACTGTTATCTGACAAACTTATGCTCGACCTAACTTGCTGCTTCTGTGATTGCTTGGTTTGAAACAGCAGTTAAGAAAGATATTGCAAGGCAGGACTCAGGATATTACCACAGAGACAGTAAACCAATTTTAAAGGAACAAAATTTATTCCAATTTCAAACAATTTATTTTGAGGAGCACGATATGAAAATCAAATTCCAGTGTGCATTTAGGTATTAAAGGCAGAGGGGGAAGTCAGCACAAAAAGACAGAGGTACAAGCAATTGTTTTAAAAGAAATAATTTTAAAAATAAAAAAATACAAATACACAGTATTAACCCAGTGCCCAGATATCAGGGTGTAGACAATGTGAAAACAGTAAAAAGGGATCTGCTTCCCTGATCTGCAACTCTCCCACAACAAAACTGGTTAATTTCAGGCCTCCAAAATTTAAAGGGGGAGTTTGGAAACAAGACTACTACTAGTGACAGGTGCATAATAGAACACTGACTGGTATGACCACACACACTTCATTACATTTTAAAGAGTCATTTGTTTCACAAAGAATGAACACCTAGCTTTTCCCAAATTTGAAACAGAACAGTTTTGAAACACTAGGTTGGAAAGCCAATAAAAGCAATTCAATTCAAAAACTTTAAAAATATTTCAATAAAATTCTACTATTCGTGAAACAGCCTTGGTCCCAGTTAATGTGTAGAATACTAAATAAGGTGTGTGTGTGTATATATATATATATATATATATATCTCATCTTGTGACAATCTTAAAAATGGGGTCAAGGTGATTATTTTTTTATAAAACCAACCCCTTTTAAGAAAAGTAGCAATGAAATGTTAGAAACCACCTGAAATAAACCATTTAAAACTGGGTGAATAACAATACCATAACATTTATAAGAGCATAGTTAAGCAGGTATTAGAAAAGGATAAATCAGTTATACACGATTTATCATTGGGTATGTTGTTCACCCTTGACATTTCTCTAAGAAGATGTTACTTGAATATTATTTTCACACTCACAATTTCTGCTGAAACTTAAGAGTAATACGTTAATAGTTTTGGGGAAATTCAACAAAAATATATTTGATAAAATACAATTTATTACCTAACCCAAAAGAATCAGCTACCTGCATAGGTTAGATTTCTTCATAAACCGCCAAGGTCTCTCTAGGACACAGACAATGAGATAATACGCTGTTGTACATAGCTGTTGTACATAGAGCGAACCCATAGTGAATTAGTGAATAAAGTCTTCTTGCGCAATTAGTGTGGGTTTACCGACTAGATATTCATTTAATGGCGGTTTACAATATGAAATATGTATAAGGATAGTGGAATGAAGTTGAAAAAGAAAAAAGTAATCAGAAAGAAATGTGTGTGTATATATATATATATTTGCAAAACAACGGGGAAGTAAAGCCTATGAATACAACTACTTTGGCACTTGTACTAAACCAAGGTACAACAGTAAACTGGCAACATAAAATGTTTTCCATAAATTCAGCAATTATTTAAACTGTAGATCAGTGCAAAGTGGGAAGAAATTATATATTATATGTATGTTTTGGTTTTTTTTTTCTTCTTTTTTAATTGTTTTATTTAATAAATGCTTTCCACTCTGTACTCTTGATTGGCTGAATACTAAGCAGAGGAGAAAAGGATGGAAGAAGCATTAATAACTTTTAATTTTTACACAGTGCAATATGAAATGGTGATGTGGGGAAAAAGGATGCTTTACAAGAATCACATAGAAGCAGATTTAAAAATATATAATATTGATAATATACATCATATAAAAAGGAAGAAAAAACCTCAAAAAAAAAAAAAAAAAACCACACCAAAACAAGAGTAACATGTATTGATAAGACCATTGTGATGTCCCTTAATAGCCTATCAAGGCAGAGGTGGGATTTAAACACCATACAAATATATTGGCATTGAGGGGGAGGGGGATTCTGGCTGTATCTGACTGAAAAGCTGCTATCCCATTTACCTTTACGTTCTGAGACCTCAGAATTCAGATTATGGATACAAAGCCCCAACTGGTAAGTTTAAGTTGTAGAGAACTGAAAGCATTTTATGTAGGCTGAAGAAAACAAAACATCAGACTAGGGAGAAAAAAAAAAAAAAAGGTTTCTAGGAATCCTGGTGCTTTATTCAAGCTAATTAATGTGCTTGTTCTCTTACGAGAAGGGAATGATTGAGCACATACAGTTAAATAGTTATGAAAATTAATAAGGTATATACCATAATTATATATATTCAAAATCAAATATTTGTTTTTCAACAAATCATTTAATAAGAAATAAATAGAAAACAAAATACCGAAGTTAGGCGGGGGGGTTTCTGTTTTTACAATAAGCTCATTCTACAAAAACAATCTTGTCCCAAAATGGATGAGGGGAGTACAGGATTGGCATATCTTCACACAACACTTCATTTTCAGAAAAAGAAAACAAAAGCTAATAAAGCAATTATTATTAGCAGATCATGATTTTATAATACAATTTAACAAAAATGCAATACGTATTGTGCAAAGCTGAAAAATATCTGCAACCTCACCTGATAAACACAATGATCAGTTAAAGATATAGTGAAGATCCTACACACATTCAAACAGTGGGGGGAATGATCTCTGTAGTGTAGAAGAATGTAGTGAATGATCTCATATATATATATATATATATATATATATATATATATTTTTTTTTTTTATTATAATAATTCTATATAGACAAACTTGATTACCCCAAAATAAAAAGTTTCCCCAAACTAACCAGTTTTTGATGTTAAGTGAAATGGATTCTAACTTTTTTTTTTCCCCACTGTTTGTTTGTGGTCCCAAAATTAGATTTCATATAAAATAATGATACAGCAAGGCCCATAATTTGTCTGGAACTAATGTAAGAGCAACATTTTGGGGAGTTTTGCAGTATTAAGCACACAGTATGAAAGCATGTTAAAAGGAACATTTCCAGCATGATAGCCAATATGCACTGTAGTGGTTATGGTAACCGCATTGTCCTTACCTCTCCGCAAGTGAAAGTGAGAGCCAAAAGCTCCTGCTAGGAGTTTTCCTTAGCTCTTTTGAGAAAAACTCTGCAGTGCAGGGCCAACTCATTTGCTGACAGAATAAGCTTATAACTCTCAGCCTATGAGCTAAGACACACCAACAAGTTTAGCTTAGGAATAGAGCTTCCAACTGCAAGAAGAGGGACTAAGTGGACCACGGGTTAACAAATGCCTTTACTACTTACATTGGTGTTGCCAAGGCACTCCAGGCACTGTAACCTCTACAATGGGCTGTAATGTTTGTGGAACTTTGAGTGTTCATTTAAGAATTAAGCTATATCAAATGTGTCCTATTAATGTCTGAAAGTTACAGAAGATCTTACTGAAGTTATTGAAGAAAAAAAAAATATATGCTTTCAAATATATTAAACAAAATCTCACTTATGAAAGGCAGATTTGGATTGGTATTCATGGTAGTTTGGATCTTTTCTGTTGTAATGTAGGCATATTGTGCAAGTGCTTAAGCTTCCTACCCACCCTTCCTATGAAAGTTGGGTGACGGAAGCATATCATTTTCACTCTTACTTTAGAGTCATAATTAGAAACTACATCACTGATAGAACCTGTGAATACTGGTTGTTTGTGAGGCGATAGAAGAATTTAAGAAATGTGGAGAAAAATAAAACAAACTGTGATGGCTTAACTTGTTTGTGCACTCGATGAAGATACTTTAAATAAAGTTGTCCATGACAAACAGGTGTCACCAGCACAGACACATAATTTGTAATGAGCAAAAGAGAGGCTTTGTGAGGGAACCTTTAAAATACTATGCTTCATGCAATCCATTGCAAAAGTGTTGTCTGAATGCTCAATTTTAGTTTGAGAATTACAAATAAATACAAGAATGGACTATTTCAAAGTACATAAGCAAGAAAATATTCTCAAGTTAGACAAAAGATGTCGCTGCTGTGCAAAGTTACTACTCTATGCTTTTTCAACCAGGAAAGCCAGCAACAATTTGCCAGCAGCTTGGCACAGAACTGGTTGATCAAGCTTTAGTACAATATTTAGAGATCAAAATCAAATATCTCTTAGCATAATAGTGCTGATTGTAAAGGAGGACATCAAAACTAATTGTGCAAAATGATCAATGCTGTCATGTAGATGTTAAGGACAAAATGAGCTTTAAAGAAACAGAGGAAGTGTATGCAGATTAGTACCAATCAATTGTAGTGTATTCCATGAAAGACTACTCTTCTAGTGTCAAAACATCACTTCAGAACAACAATTAATGTAAAATAGATCTGTGATGGTTCATTGCTTTAAATGCTACTCAGATATCAGGGTGGTCAAGAAGTAAATGTAATCTACAACAGCTGGAAGTTTACCTTTTGGCCTCTCCCGACGCATGTAATCAAACTCCTAAATTGTTCTAACAGTATTCCTGAATTCCATTAAGAGATACCCTGCCATATTTCTGGGCTACAAAGGCAAATACAGCTACTTACAAAAGTAAGAAGTTGGTAGAAGGGAGTCTGTGTACAGTGCATTGTAAATATTCTGACCAAGAGTGAAAGGACACACAGTGATTTAATACAGTAAGATAGCATGAACCCTACTGGCTGCTAGTTTTTCCAGTACAACATGACAAAAACCCAATTGATCTAGATGCAAGCCAAGTTAGGTGTTTTAGTCACACTCTGCTGTTTATCCATCACAGAATATACTTTAAAGAATAAAAGGGAGTTTTGGATAATGAAGGGTTCTAAAACTGAAGCAATACACTCAATTCTGTCATCCCTAGAAAGAACAGATTTTTAGCCCTGTCATTTATATTAAAATCTGTTAAAACATGCAACACAGGTTAAAAATATATTTATATATAAAACAAAATCATCAAGGTGGAATCAATTTGGAGTGTAACTCCTATGAGAACACTTCAGAATCAAGTGTTTTTAAAAAGGCCATTAAAAAAAAAAAAAAAAGGAGAGAGCACAAAAAGTGGTAGACCATGAGCCACCAGCCTAGCCTCTATTGACTCTGCTTCTCCACTTCATCTCACTGCAATAATGAATTAAAAAATATTCTTGAAAAAGCTACTTAAAGAGACACTCGTGTTTAACAACGTGTCTCCAAGGCAGGCTAGCAGCACCGTGCCATATTTCAACATTTGGCCAGGGGAGTAAAACAAAAACAAGAAATAAAGATAAAACAAAACAAAAAAGACAAATGCAAACCTTAGCCCCCTCTTCAAGTTGTTTGTGGGGCACAGATGCAAGTAAACTAAAAACATTATGAAAAAGAAAATCACACCACTCAGGTGAGGAGATCAAGGAGAAAATTTGGGCCAGCCTTGTCACACCAGGTTGTACTCTTTCAGATTAAGCTGTAAAATGGTATCTTTAACAGCAGCGAATACAAAGCGGATGTTCTCCGTGTCTGTGGCACACGTGAAGTGTGAGTAGATTATCTTGTCACTGTCGGGATTCAGGTCCACAAACATTTTTAGTATGAACTCACGAGCAGTTGTGGCATCCCTCTGTGGACCTAAAGAGGAAAAACAGAGTTGGTAAGAAAAGTAATAAGTAAATAGGACAATTTATAGAGGTGGGATGAAATATGCAGATATTAAGTACATGATACAAGATCTATAGGCAGGATAAATTAAGCTACAAAAGATATAAGGTGGTGCAGAATGCCTTCAAGTCAAGCAAGAGAAAGGTGCTTCCCAATTTTAATGCAAGATAATTGAAGTTGTTATGAGGGCTGGAGTCAGTCTTATCTTCAGGATTTAAAGTGTTTGGCACCGGTTAGCCCTGAAGTTGCACCTGCTGCCTGGCCAAACCTTCCTCATATTGCAGAAAACAGAGCTTAAAGGTTACCTTACCAAACATTTTGCATTTTATCGATAGAATCACATTGACCACTCAAATTTTCACTGAAATTCCAAATCATTTAAGACACAAAAGATAAAGCAATGAATATTCTGTTTAATAATAAAACCAAAGTTGCAAAATTTGACAAAAAAGGCCAAGTTTCCTCCATCAAATTGTGCCTATGGGCATCAGGCCGATTACAGCAGACTGTGTGACTTGGTTTTGTTCTTGTGGTCTGTGTTATGCATTCATGCATGCAAAATATGTAAGACCCTATAAGGTAACAAAGACACTTTTTATGTATTCTGCTGTTCACAACACTGCAGAAATAGTGTATTATTTATAAAGCACCAACAAATTCCACAGTTCTGTACAATTGGTGGACTTATATACATATAAGTTTATACAACTAAAACCAGAGTAGCAGAACGAAGCATAGCCAACATGAAGATTTATTATTTTACACTATATTCACTCTGAATTCTAATTTTAGTTTATAACCCTGAAATGTCTCAGATGATAAGGAACCACACAATTTATAGTTCTTCACTAAAGGCCCGGTTGGAATAGGTTGGATCAGAAAATTCACCTTATGCATTGTGTGCATTTAGAACAGACTGGCTGTGTGTAGCTAAACTCCCTATGTTTCTCAGTTGCATGGATACTACTGCAATGTACAGAACCATTGCACAATGACAGAATGAGAAGTGAAAATGAGGGTGCTATTTAAACAGCATCTGTACTTGTCACGGTGTATTGGCAGTGTCAGCTACATGGATGTATTAAACTATTAATACATTGTGTTTTCAAATATAATACAAAAATAGAGATTTGGACCACCCAGGTGCAGTGCATATAAACAATAAAAAAGATAATTACTTCCTTTTTAGTTTGGTATAGCAAAGGATTATGAGCTTCTGGCAAAGATATCTCTAATGAAGCTCAAGGAAGCAGGATGAAGGGTCAGTGTAGGACCAGCTTTAGGGGGGGTCTTCCTTGACGTCGGCAGGCGGGCATTCCTGTCAGGATTACTGTTTGATCCAGCACGTAGAACTGCACAGCACGGATGACAAATAAGTAACGTATTACCAGTCCTTAGAATGGCCGGATTTAACGTACAAAGAATAGTCAAAAATACTAGCCGAGGTCAGGGAACACAGAAAGGGACACAGCGATGAGGAAAGCCAGGAGTCAGGATACCAGAATATAGAGAAGTCAATAAACAAAGCCAAAGTAAAAAACCAGGTAGAAAACTATAAACAGGAACGCGCTCTCAGACAACCACAAGGGAAACCACGACAGGGCACTGAGCAGGCTGAGAACTGGGCCTAAATACCCCTCCTTTAGTTCTGATAGGCTGTAACCGGCCTTTGACCCCAAAGTCAGTTACCAGGTTTCATTTGCATAATTGCTGCTCAGCATTAACCCTTCTGTGGATTAGGTTGCTGCTCGGCACAACTTTTCCTGTGTGGACAGTAAATGTCATTAATCACTTTTCTCTAAGCGGATGAATACATGACACCAGGTTTCATTTGCACAATTACTGCTCAGCATTAACCCTTCTGTGGATTAGGTTGCTGCTCGGCACAACTTTTCCTGTGTGGACAGTAAATGTCATTAACCACATTTCTATAAGCTGATGAATACGTGACATTACCCCCCACCTGAAGAACGCCCACCGGGCGGACAGGACCAGGCTTGAGAGGAAATTTAGCGTGAAAAGCGCGGATCTTACGGCCCGCATGCAGGTCAGGAGCCGAAACCCAAGAACGATCAGCAGGACCGTAACCTTTCCAAACAACCAAGTACTGTAAAGTGCCCCGAGAAAACCTAGAATCCACGATAGAAGATACCTCATACTCTTCCTGACCACCCACCACCACCGGAGGGGGAGGAACACAAGGAACAGTATATCTATTGCAGACAAGAGGTTTGAGTAAGGACACATGAAAAGTGTTGGAAATCCCTAAAGATGCAGGAAGAGCCAGAGAGTAAGACACTGGATTGATCCTACGAAGCACTCTATAGGGACCAAGGAATCTGGGGGCAAACTTCATGCTAGGGACCTTAAGCTTGATGTTGCGAGATGACAACCAAACCCGGTACCCCACTTGGTACACCGGGTTGGCACTCCTACGCTTATCAGCAAAATGTTTGAATGTTTCAGCAGCAGCCCCTAGAGCAGTTTGAACCTTAACCCAGGTATCCCGAATGGAGGCCAGACGCTCATCCAGAGCAGGAACGGCAGTATCAGAAAATACCGCAGGGAGAACCGTAGGATGCCTACCATTATTGACAAAAAAAATAGACTGTGCCCAGAGGAGTCATGAACAGCATTGTTTCTAGCGAACTCGGCCCACGGGAGTAGTTCGGACCAATTGTCTTGTGTGCTATTAATAAAACAAAGCAAATAAACTTCTAATGACTGGTTAGCCCTCTCAGCTGTACCATTGGTCTGTGGATGGTAGGAGGAGGAGAAGGAGAGATCAATCCCCAATTGTTTACTGAACGCCCTCCAGAACCTGGACACAAACTGAGAGCCCCTATCAGACACAATATTGTGGGGGATGCCATGCAAACGGACAATTTCACGTATGAAAATTAGGACCAAATCTTGCGAAGATGGCAACTTCTTGAGAGGAATGAAGTGAGCCATCTTAGAAAATCGGTCTACAACCATGAGAATAGTAGTGAACCCAGCAGAGCTAGGAAGCTCAACAATAAAGTCCATGGATAGGTGGGACCATGGAATCTCAGGAACAGGAAGAGGCTGCAACAGGCCACAAGGAAGTGCATGAGTCACCTTAGAAACTGCACACACAGAACATGCCTGCACATACTCCTTTACATCTTTCCTGAGTGAATCCCACCAAAATGATCTAGTGATCGCGGCAGTGGACTTATTGATGCCGGGTGTCCAGCAGTTATATTGTCATGGAACACTTTCATGATATTAACCCTTTCACATAGGTGAACGAACAGTTTATCACACGGTTTACCACTGGGCGCCTGAGGCTGGGCCTCCAGTATGGTGCCAAGCAGTGGAGAAGACAGTGAGAGGACAGTAGTAGCAATAATACACTCTGGTGGAATAATAGGAGATGTCATCTGTTCCGGAGCTGACTCATTATCAAATTGCCTGGACAAGGCATCAGCCTTGGTATTTTTAGAACCAGGTCTATAAGTAATGAGAAAGTTAAAACGTGAAAGGAACAGTGACCATCTAGCCTGTCTGGAAGACAAACGTTTGGCATCCCCTATATATGCCAGATTTTTGTGGTCGGTTATGATCAACAGGGGGTCCTTGGAACCCTCCAAAAGATGTCGCCACTCCTTGAGGGCAAGAATAATGGCCAACAGTTCTCTATTGCCAATATCATAGTTGCGCTCAGCAGGAGACATCTTTCTGGAGAAGTAGCCACAAGGATGCAATGGTGTTCCCTGGCTTTCTCTCTGAGAGAGAACAGCCCCTACCCCTGTCTCGGATGCATCAACCTCCAAAATAAAAGGTTTACTGGTGTCAGGATGTTTTAGTATGTCCGCAGAGGCAAATCTTTGTTTAAGAGTCTCAAAAGCATTCACAGCCTCTTTGGACCATACCGTGCTACTAACCCCTTTGCGAGTCATATTTGTGATTGGGGCTATTACAGAAGAAAATCCCTTGATGAATCTTCTGTAATAGTTGGCAAAACCAATAAACCTTTGAATGGCTTTTAAACCAGAGGGTAATGGCCAGTGTAGTACAGCCTCTAGTTTTTTAGGATCCATTTGAAATCCCGATGCAGAGATGTTGTAACCCAAAAAGTGGACTTCAGGCTGGTCAAATATGCACTTTTCTAATTTACAATAAAGTTTATTTTTCAACAACGTCTGCAGAACCTGTTTCACATGGGAGTGGTGAGTTTGAAGATCAGGGGAATACACCAAAATATCGTCCAAATAAACCAAGACAAATGAGTAAATGAATTCCCTGAGTACATCATTTATAAAGTCTTGGAATACGGCCGGGGCGTTGCATAACCCAAATGGCATTACCAGATATTCATAGTGTCCACTACGGGTATTAAATGCCGTCTTCCACTCATGATTCTCTTTAATTCTAACCAAATTGTAAGCGCTCCTAAGGTCAAGCTTAGTAAATACTTTAGCTCCCTGAAGTCTATCGAACAATTCGGAAATGAGTGGAATAGGGTATGCATTTTTTACAGTGATTTTATTAAGTGCCCTGTAGTCTATGCAAGGGCGTAACTCACCACCCTTTTTCTCAACAAAAAAGAATCCTGCACCAGCTGGTGAGGATGACTTTCTTATGTGCCCTTTGCTCAAGGATTCTTTGATGTATTCCTCCATTATTTTACTCTCCTGGGGAGATAAGGCATAAACTGCCCCCTTAGGTGGCATAGCGCCTGGAAACAGGTTAATGGCACAGTCATATGCTCTGTGGGGAGGCAATACATCGGATTGAGCCTTGTTAAACACCTCCTGAAGTTCTCGGTATTGTATGGGAACTCCAGGAGTTTGGGGAGTGGTAGTGGGAAGGTCAATTGTATCCAATCTCTTTAGTACTGGTTTTATACATCTCCCCATACACTCTTTACCCCATTCTAATATCTCCCCATTAGCCCAGTCAATATAGGGATTGTGCTTACTCAGCCACGGAAACCCTAATATGATAGGACATGATGGAGAAGTAATAACCTGAAACGTCATCTCCTCCCTATGGGAGGCCCCAATGGAGATCGTAATAGGGACAGTTTCGTGGGTTATAAGCGGTTGTGTGAGTGGTCTACCATCAATAGCCTCTACAGCTAGCGGCGTAGGTCTCTCCCTGACCGGTATCTCATTACCCCTAATAAACTGGACATCAATAAAATTTCCAGCAGCACCATTAGGGCACTGCAAGAAAACTTCTTGTTATCAAGGGAAATAGATACCTCAAGGAGGAATCTACTTTTGTTTTTGTTAGAGGACAACTCCATCACACCTAAGATCTGTCCCCTTAAGGTTCTTAGGTGCGGAAGTTTTCCGGACGCACTGGACAATTAGTTATCATATGTCCCTTTCTACCGCAATATAGGCATAACCCCTCCCTTCTCCTATACTGTTTTTCGGCCTCTGACAGTCTAGTGACCCCCAACTGCATAGGTTCGGGTTCGGACTGTACAGGGAGGTTAGACAAAACAGGTTTAGAGAATTGAGGTGCTAGGGACATAGCCGTACGTCTGGTCTTGCTTCTGGTGACTTCTCTGAGTCTTAACCTATTATCAATATGCATGACAAACGTAATAAATTCGTTAAGACTCTTAGGTAATTCTTTAGCGGCTATCTCATCTAGTATAGTCTCTGAGAGACCCTTTTTGAATGCTGAGATTAACCCATTGTTAGTCCAGTCTACCTCGGAAGCTAAGGTACGGAATTCAATAGCATAATCCGAGATAGACCGGTTACCTTGTCTGATGTGCATTAGGGCAGTGGAGGCGTCATCCTCTCTACCCAATGGCTCAAACGTGAGCTTGAATTCGGCAAGGAATTCCTGGTAATTATGAGCTATGCTCCGATTACTCTCCCACAACGGATTAGCCCAGGCAAGGGCCTTGCCCTTTAATTGATTCATTAGATAACCAATTCTTGCTCTGTCCGTGGGGAATGACCCTGGTGAGGCCTCAAAATGGTACTCCACCTGATTAAGAAAACCCCTGCATTCCTGGATATTGCCATCAAACTGTAGGGATGGTGATAAGGAGATGCAAGGAGTCCTATTAACAGTGGGTGGAGGTACACAGGGTAGAGGTGCTATAGGAGGAGACGCTGCAGGCTGCAGATGCTCCGTTCTAGCGAGAAGCGTACTTAAAGCCTGAGTGAATTGATCCATGCGGTGATCATTCTCCTCTAATTTCCTCTCGCAAGCAGCTATGTGCTGACACAGTTCTACAGGATCTATGGCCATGTCGTAATGTCAGGATTACTGTTTGATCCAGCACGTAGAACTGTACAGCACGGATGACAAATAAGTAACGTATTACCGGTCCTTAGAATGGCCGGATTTAACGTACAAAGAATAGTCAAAAATACTAGCCGAGGTCAGAGAACACAGAAAGGGACACAGCGATGAGGAAAGCCAGGAGTCAGGATACCAGAATATAGAGAAGTCAATAAACAAAGCCAAAGTCAAAAACCAGGTAGAAAACTATAAACAGGAACGCGCTCTCAGACAACCACAAGGGAAACCACGACAGGGCACTGAGCAGGCTGAGAACTGGGCCTAAATACCCCTCCTTTAGTTCTGATAGGCTGTAACCGGCCTTTCAGGTTTCATTTGCATAATTGCTGCTCAGCATTAACCCTTCTGTGGATTAGGTTGCTGCTCGGCACAACTTTTCCTGTGTGGACAGTAAATGTCATTAATCACTTTTCTCTAAGCGGATGAATACATGACACCAGGTTTCATTTGCACAATTACTGCTCAGCATTAACCCTTCTGTGGATTAGGTTGCTGCTCGGCACAACTTTTCCTGTGTGGACAGTAAATGTCATTAACCACATTTCTATAAGCGGATGAATATGTGACAATTCCCTCCAATGGCCATTGGAGCAACTAAATGACCTCCATTTGTCTAAATATACATAGGGATTAAGGAGAGAGCGCAGGTAACTTTATTTTCTTTGGTTTTTACTATATATTAGGGCTGATGTGTACTGTAGTCATTGCTCCCGGCCCAGTAATGATGGGAGTGAGCGCAGGACTTATCTTTTTTGTATGAACGTTCCTGGTGTCTAGTGGTGCCTATAATCCATCCTTTATGTATTTGCCTCCCTTTTCCCCCCTTCATTTCTCATTCTCCCCCCCACACCGATTCCATTTGCCGTTTTTTGGGTGTAACTTTTTTTGATCCAGTCGAATTCAGAGCAAAATTACACGTGGAAGTCTAAATGTCGTCTGTTCATTTCCATCGTCTGCATTACTGCACACGTACAGAGAGAACAGAGGGCGTATGACGCGGTGCACATGTGCAAAAGTCAATGGGTCTGCATGCGCAGCAAGTAAATGGTGGCCATCTTGCGTCAACATAATTTACGATGTCACAGTTTTTTTACAGTGCCAAATCCGTGATTTTTCCTCTTTTATGTTTATAAACAAAAAAAGCAGTATACTCCGATTTTCCATTTGGTGTAGCTCAATGGGGGAAAAAATCTATGTGAATTGTGCAACTTCAAAGCGCCTCAGCGCTGAGTGCATGTAAGCAGCATCAGATCTTTCCAAACCTACTCCTGACATCATGGAGCAGTGTCCCCGGGTAGTAAGTGACACAAAAGGCCTAGATCCTGTTTGGTCAAAGAACGATTCCTGTGATTATGATGTGGAAGTGGAATGTCTTCAAGAGGCTTTTTCCTTCAGGGGAAGAAATGCAGCCCTCTCCTGACTCACTAGATCCGTCCAGTGTGGATCACCTCACCTCCAGAGTGCGCAGATCCCTAAACTTGAAGCAATCCGTTTAAGATGAACCTTCATCAAGCAAATTCTACTTGGATATCAGAAGGAAGAGAGACATTTCCGTTACACGAGACAATTAAAGAGCTCACGTGGGTTTCTGCTCCCAAGGTAGATGCAGCTATAGTAAGATTGGCTAAGCGTACTACTTTGACAGTTAAGAAGTCTGGTTCTCTGAGAGAGTCTATGGACTCTAGAATGGACCTGGACATGGCTAAAGCTTATGTTGCAACAGGCATCATGCTTTATCCAGCTAAAGTCCTTGCTTTTGTCTCTCGTGCTCTCAAACTATGTATAGAGGACATTGAAGAGGATCTTAAGAAGCATTTTTGCCGCAGGACCATAGGCCTAAGAGATCCTTCAGGGATAGAAGCTATACAGAGGTACCTTCCTTTCGAGATAACAGAGCCTACCGGCCAGGCACAGAATATGGGAGATCCTAAGCCTTGGAAAGGAAGCCATTCTGCCAGAGGTAACATATCCAGAGGACTAGCAATAGTTATGATGGTCTACTCTCCCAGCCTGGAGGAGTAGAGGTCGGCCTGCTTAAATTCTGTTAAGTCAGAGAGAAACCTATACAAGACAGATGGGTTCTAAACATCATATTAAGGGGATATTTTCTGGCATTTCTAAAACACTCAAGCCACAGCTTCCATTAAACAGAGGGAAAAAAGTCAGGAGGTTGGAGACCAATTCTGGTCCTGCACAGACTGAACAAGATTCTGAGAATCAGAAAATGCAAGATGGAATCTTTTCAATCCATTATGAAAGTGGTCTTCCAGGCCAATGGATCAACTTGCAGGATACAAATTTCCATGTCCCAATTGCACTACAATATTAGAAGTTTCTGAAATATGAAGGGCAATTTTAGTTTCAAGCCCTTCCTTTTAGACTAAGTACTGTTCTTCTGACACTCTCCAAAGTAATTGTAATCCTTATTGCAGAACTGAGTTAAAAAAAAAAAAAAAAAAAAAAGGGTATTTCAAGGAGTCTTCAGTCAAATATAAAATAACTGTTGTCTGTCAGTGTGACAACAGCAGAGAACATCATGAGCCTACTGGGATTCAGGTCTTCAACTATAGGTCTGACAAGGTGAGCCCAGTGTAAAATGAGGCCTTTCCAGGAGAATTTGCTGAAAGAGATTAAATCAGGCAACCTTCCCTAGCTCATCAGGATTCCTCCCCAAAATAAGTCATTACCTTCTGCGGTGGTTGCTCGACAAGAACATTTACAGGATTTCCACTAGAATACAGGGAGTGCAGAATTATTAGGCAAGTTGTATTTTTGAGGATTAATTTTATTATTGAACAACCATGTTCTCAATGAACCCAAAAAACTCATTAATATCAAAGCTGAATATTTTTGGAAGTAGTTTTTAGTTTGTTTTTAGTTATAGCTATGTTAGGGGGATATCTGTGTGTGCAGGTGACTATTACTGTGCATAATTATTAGGCAACTTAACAAAAAACAAATATATACCCATTTCAATTATTTATTATTACCAGTGAAACCAATATAACATCTCAACATTCACAAATATACATTTCTGACATTCAAAAACAAAACAAAAACAAATCAGTGACCAATATAGCCACCTTTCTTTGCAAGGACACTCAAAAGCCTGCCATCCATGGATTCTGTCAGTGTTTTGATCTGTTCACCATCAACATTGCGTGCAGCAGCAACCACAGCCTCCCAGACACTGTTCAGAGAGGTGTACTGTTTTCCCTCCTTGTAAATCTCACATTTGATGATGGACCACAGGTTCTCAATGGGGTTCAGATCAGGTGAACAAGGAGGCCATGTCATTAGATTTTCTTCTTTTATACCCTTTCTTGCCAGCCACGCTGTGGAGTACTTGGACGCGTGTGATGGAGCATTGTCCTGCATGAAAATCATGTTTTTCTTGAAGGATGCAGACTTCTTCCTGTACCACTGCTTGAAGAAGGTGTCTTCCAGGAACTGGCAGTAGGACTGGGAGTTGAGCTTGACTCCATCCTCAACCCGAAAAGGCCCCACAAGCTCATCTTTGATGATACCAGCCCAAACCAGTACTCCACCTCCACCTTGCTGGCGTCTGAGTCGGACTGGAGCTCTCTGCCCTTTACCAATCCAGCCACGGGCCCATCCATCTGGCCCATCAAGACTCACTCTCATTTCATCAGTCCATAAAACCTTAGAAAAATCAGTCTTGAGATATTTCTTGGCCCAGTCTTGACGTTTCAGCTTGTGTGTCTTGTTCAGTGGTGGTCGTCTTTCAGCCTTTCTTACCTTGGCCATGTCTCTGAGTATTGCACACCTTGTGCTTTTGGGCACTCCAGTGATGTTGCAGCTCTGAAATATGGCCAAACTGGTGGCAAGTGGCATCGTGGCAGCTGCACGCTTGACTTTTCTCAGTTCATGGGCAGTTATTTTGCGCCTTGGTTTTTCCACACGCTTCTTGCGACCCTGTTGACTATTTTGAATGAAACGCTTGATTGTTCGATGATCACGCTTCAGAAGCTTTGCAATTTTAAGAGTGCTGCATCCCTCTGCAAGATATCTCACTATTTTTGACTTTTCTGAGCCTGTCAAGTCCTTCTTTTGACCCATTTTGCCAAAGGAAAGGAAGTTGCCTAATAATTATGCACACCTGATATAGGGTGTTGATGTCATTAGACCACACCCCTTCTCATTACAGAGATGCACATCACCTAATATGCTTAATTGGTAGTAGGCTTTCGAGCCTATACAGCTTGGAGTAAGACAACATGCATAAAGAGGATGATGTGGTCAAAATACTCATTTGCCTAATAATTCTGGACTCCCTGTAATCCTAACAATGTATGCCAGTCACTGGGGATATGGAGTAGAGTTGAGCAGACACCTGGATGTTCACGTCCCGTGGGTTCAGCCGAACTTTGAAAAAAAAAAATCCGGGTTCGAGCTCGAACTTTACCCCAAACCCGAACCCCACTGAAGTCAATGGGGACCCGAACTTTTGTGCACAAAAATGACTCTAAAAAACTCCTGGAAAGGGCTATAGAGCTGCAAAGGGAAGTAAGATGGGGTAAGAGTAGGACAAGTGCCCTGCAAACAAATGTGGATAGGGAAATCACTTAAAATAACAAAAAATTTAAAATACAGCGGAGCCATAAAATAGTACTAGATGGAATCTTTGATTTTAGCTTTGGACGAACATAAATCAAAATCTAAAACATGGCTGTCTGGAGAATCAACAGAATTATCAATTTGAGAGAGGGTTGGAGTGCAGGGTATTCTCTTTCATTGTTCAAACTGAGCTCAACTCCTGATGCATGGAGAAAAGGCCTTCACAAGCCTCTGCTATTGTGGACATAGTTTATACTAAGTGACCCATAGGTTGAGGAGGCGGTGACCGTGGCGGTGTAGGTGGTAGCAGCGGTGGAAGAGGAGGTGGTAGCCAACACTGTTTTATAAATATATATATATATAAATAAATATTTTTTTTTTTTTTGAATTGGGATAGCCCCCGAAATATTGGGACATAAAAAAAGACAACTCTGTTCCGCAGAGTAGCTGTTGACATTATAGTTGCGCAGGCACTTTGTTGACTCTAGAGAACATCGGGCCAATCGCACATCCCCGTGACGGCGACTTTGCATTCGGATGTCATCCATATCAACTTTCAATGCCAGTTTATGCACCTACCATGGTGACCACGGGTAACGGGGAATCAGGGTTCCATTCCGTACAGTGACCCTGAGAAACGGCTACCACATGTAAGGAAGGCATCAGGTGCGCAAATGACCCACTCCCGACGCGGGAAGGTAGTGACGACAAATAACAATACAGGACTCTTTAGAGGCCCTGTAATTGTAATGAGTCCACCTGAAATCCTTTAACTCTGATCAATTGGAGGGAAGTCTGGTGCAAAGCCACTGACCCATGCGTGCTGCATTTGAAACTCCACTATCGCCTGCTGCTGCTCGCACAGTCTCATGAGGCGGTGAGCGGGAAGGCCAAAGTTACGCTGCAGCGCAGACAGGCGAGCAGCAGCGTGAGAACGGCAAAAGCGCGCACAGCCACTACAGTGAATGTCACATCCTGTTCCAAGTTGCGGATCAGTCTGGTGATGGCTTCTGGTATCCAGTACTCTTTTTACTGAAGCTGCATCAGGTTCCTGGTATGTGGCCACATAAATGCTGGTGCTCAACACCAGGGGGCGTGCGGTTACCCTGCACAAGACCCTGCTAATCCATTCCACACTGTGACTCCTAACTTCAACATCAGGCATACTGGGTCCCGGTCGTCCGACCGCGGCCCAGACAGTGTCTGGGTCCTGGTCACCAGACTGTCCACCTGACTGTGAAACTACGAATGGATCTTTAAATCTGGTACAAACCCGAACTTTTCCGTTCGGGTTCGCTCAACTCTATTATGGATCCTTTGATCGCTACATGTATTACTTGGATAACTAGTAATTCTCAAGCTAATACATACCGATGAGTGCTAGGGGACGGGCGCTCTGCTTTTGCACCCTGCTCCCTCCTTTGCTGTGCTGGTGCCTTTGTGCGACCAGCGCCTCTTCCTCCAAACTGCACACGTCACTCGCATGACCTTGATCTCATCATTCTCCACCCACTCCTCAACCCTGTTTTGTTTTTTTATAGTGTACTTTTAAAAATAAACCTACGTTTCTATGAAAAAGTTAAGTTTTGGTTTTTTTTGCGGCCCACATAAACTTAAACCATGTTTATTTGGCCCGTGCTAACCTTTGAGTTTGACATGCTTGCTCTAAAGACATATTACACACAGTTTCCTATATTCGTAATGTGTAAAAGTATGTGCGGAAAACACAGTAGTAGCGAATATAAATCACCAAGAGCCGCAGCCTGATGAAAATTCTAGAGCCAGAAACTGACTACAAGCATCTAAAGACTCTTTAATCAGATGGATTTTTTCAACTATTATAAAAGCTTTCCAAGCTGCTCAGGTCACCATTCCTCAATGCAGAGCAGTCAACCAGATCTCTTTCCTCCTCAAGATATGATTTGTAAGGCTGCTACATGGTCCTCTAGTGACATGTTTGTCAGACATTACCAATTGGAAATTAGAGCTGCCCAGTTTGATAGTTTTTCCTCTGTTTTGAATGACTAGTTTACGGTTTGTTGTGTTCACTTCTGAATATTTAATACACGTTTTTGGGACATTATTTATGGTGTTTGTGTTTTCTTTCCCTCCCTTGAGCTTTGCTTGGGTATTACTTATTGTTGGGCTGTCATTGATATGTAAACTATATATTCATACTTACCATGATTTTCCTGGTTATAGGCTAATGCAGCACAAGAGTCCCTTCCCTTGGAATTTAGACTGAGGGCAGGGTAGGTGTCTATATGGTGATGGGAGTAGCTAATCCATTGTTGCGCTGCCATGGCCAAGAAAGGAATATAATATATATACACACACACACACATATATATCTATATATCTCTATATATCTATCTCTATCTATATCTCTCTATATATCTATCTCAGGTGTTCTGTTCATATTGCCATGTCTAAAACAACAATGTTTACTGTTTGGACACTAGTTACTAGCCTGACTATATATCTTTAAAAAATGTTCTGCTTGTCTTGACATGTCATTGTGACGAAAGTAACCTCGTCACTGGCTTTTGGAGGGGCCTGTTTGCCAGCCTCCTATCCTGTGATTATGGCCCTGTGAAAAACTGAACCTCGTCAAGGGTTCTTGAAGGGCCTGCTGGCCAGCCTCTTGCCTCAGAACTATGGGCCCTGCAATATACTTTCCCCAATGCATTTTAAAAGACTCTGTTCCTGTGAAGTATGTACTTTTGTACTCCAGACAGAGAGACCGACCGGTAGCCCTAATTCTCTGGAACAGTTTTGGGCATGGGACCATGTGCACTGTTGGTCAAAGAGAGACTTCCAGGAATTTCCTGAACCCCTGCTCTGATCTGGGAGATTTTTGGATATGTTGTTCACCCAGATCAGGGCTATCAGTGGATGATATGGTATGTTTTGGGGTACTTTTTGAACTTCGTAAAAATTAGTTTTTTCTGCCTGGAGATAATGGAGTTACTTACAGGACTTTACTCAATTATCTCCCAAGCAGAGGGGAGGGATTGTGTGCTGTACATGGGCATGCCACAGACTGTATGTTTGTGTCCTTTGTGTTCCTGTGCCCCATCAGGTCCAAGGGGTATTCCTCTGGCCTGGAGAATTGTATAAAAGCCAACCTGAACCATTAAAGATCAAATCATCTTGCACCTTCATGAAGTCTTGGCTCATGTTTGGGGGATTGGAGAACTACACTCTGGGGATTGCTATAATCACTATACTCCCCTGAGTCACTAATCACTAAGCTCTTATAAGAGCTGTTCCTGCTACGCTCTCGGCACGGCAAGAGAAGCCTACCCACTGGAAGCTGGATCCTAGTCTTGGGTCCAGGGTGGGTGGAGGATGGCGAGACCGAAACCAAGCTGCGGCGGTTCGTGGGGTTTGCGGTGGTTACACCAGTACTAGGAAGCAGCGATTGACAGAGGTAACCAGTTGGGGTACAGGCATGTTTTAATTGCATGCTTATCTTCACTGGTTGTTATGTTTATACCATATGTCATTATTAACCTGTGTATGTACCACTGCACTTCAAAAATAAAGGAGGTTAATATATATAGAAATATCAGGTAGCAGAATCAGGAGGCAAATAAAAAATTAGCTTGTAGAGTCAAGTATAAATTTATTAAGGCAACAAACTTTTTGCCTCCTGATTCTGCTACCTGATATTTCTGGACCTGCTGCATTACCCTGAATGGTGGAAAGCGGATCAGTATAATCCATTTATGGATTTCATGGCATCCATTTGATTTCAACTCTGTGAGTGCTACTTATGATTTTGCGTGTCAGCGTTGTATGCTGTACATCACTATGTGCTGTTTTTCTCTTATTTTTTAGCACCTAGCCGTATCCCTATTGTTATCAATAGCATTCCACTACCTGATTGCAGCAGTAACATGGATAACTTCAGAGCAGAGTTTGAGGATTACTCCCTAGCTAAAGGGCTGAATGAGAAGCCTGCAGCAGTGCAAGCAGCCACACTGAGGAGGGTAATTGGCAGTGAGTGCTACCATGTTTACAAGCATAATTTGAACCTCACAGAGGAGCAAAAGCATGACACTAAAGCCATCATTGATGCATTGGAAGCTTTCTTCAGACCTGCAAAAAATGTAATATATGAAAGCTATATATTTGGCAGCTGCAAGCAAGAAGAAGGTGAATCAATAGACAACTTTGTCACAAGGCTGAGAGAAAAAGCTGCAAGCTGTGAGTATGGCTCATTGAGAGATGAACTTATTTGTGACAAAATAGTCCTAGGTATTAATACTGAGAGTACCTGCCGCCGTCTATTGAGGGAACATGATTTAACCCTACATGCAGAAATTGAAATATGTTGCACTGCAGAAGTTACTGACAAACATATGAGAGCTATGGAGAAGGATAAACAGACTGGCAGCATCCATGCAGCCTTCAAGCAACAGCAAAGCTTGAAGAACCACCAGCACAAGCATCAACACAATAATCACCAAAGCACCTCACCTGTGAGCAAGTCTACATCATGTAAGTAATGTGGCAGTATACATGTGAGAGAGAAAGAACAGTGTCCTGCATATGGAAAAACATGTAGATCATGTGGTAGGCTAAATTATTTTGCTGGAGTATGTCTGTCAAGAAGAAAGGAAGCAAGGAAGCTAAACACAACTGAACACGTCTGATTCTCAGGATGCACTCCTGCTTAGCAATGATGTGATTTACTCCAAGGAATGCATTGGTGCTGTAAAGCCTAAGGTCAAAAAATGGTTTGTAAATCTCAGACTGAATAATATATGCCAATCCTGCCAGCTGGATTCTGGTGCAACATGTGATGTCATGAGTTTGAAAGAAAAGATATAACTGGCACCTAGGGCACTTCAGCCCAGCAGCACCAAGCTGAAGCTATATTCAGGGGAACTAATGGAATCATTGGGACTTTTCCAAACAGAGTGCAGCATACGTGAAAATATACACAAACTTGAATTTGAGATTGTTGAAGCCAATCAGAAACTGCTATTGTTTGGTTCAACATGTGAGCGCCTGGGACTGATACAATTCACAATTCAGTTTGTGCAGTTTGGCTTTCCAAGCATGACCAGGCAGTGGAGGAAATAAAACACTTGATCACAGCTGCCCCAGTGCTAAAATATTAGGATGTGAAAAAGCCTGTAACAATACAAAGAGACTCAAGCAAAAATGGCCTAGGATGTTGTCTATTGCAAGAATGTCAGCCAGTTGCATTTGCATCCAGAGCACTCTCTTCAGCTAAGCAAAATTATGCTCAAATTGAAAAGGAATGTTTAAGCATTGTTTTTGCCTGTCAGCGTTTCCATCAAGATCTCTATGGCCAGGATGCAATCATTGCTTTAACTGATCACAAACCGCTAATAGCCATAATCAAGAAGCCGCTTTTTATGTGCTCCAAAGCGTTTGCAGAGCATGATGCTTACATTGCAGAATTACAATCTCAATGTTGTGTACAAGCCAGGATTTGAAATGTACATCAGTGACACCCCAAGCAGAGCTACAACGGAACACGTGGCACCTGGAGGTGAGCATGAGCATCTTGCAGTTTGTTTGTTTGCTGCAGCAGGAACAGAATTTCTTTGCCAAAGTCAATCAAGCAGACTGTCACAGATCAGCGGCTACATCGGCTCATACAGCACACAGAAAGTGATGCAACTTTGCAAGCAATGAAGTGGCCAGATGGGGTGGGGTGGCCAGATGAAAAGGATACAGCACCTGCAATTGTGAAGGAATATTGGTCCTTCAGAGATGAGATCGGCACACAAAATGGTATCTTGTACAAAGGTCCAAGGATCATAGTGCCAAAGTCACTAAGAGCAGAGATGTTATCGGGCATACACTCAAGCCACATCGGAGGTGAGGCTTCCTACAGACAAGCTCGTGATACTCTTTACTGGCCCAACATGCAAGGTGAAATCAAAGACTTTGTCAGCAATTGTCCCACTTGCAATGAATATGCACACTCGCAACAAAAAGAAACCATGATGTCACATGAGATACCTACACGTCCTTGGCAGATTGTAAGCATGGACTTATTCAACAATGCTGGAAAAGAGTACCTGCTCTTAGTCGATCATTATTCAGACTTCTGACCTGTCCACTGAAACTACAATTAATCGATGTAAGGCGCAATTTGCACGTCATGGCCAACCAACTAAAGTGATTTCTGACAATGGTCCTCAGTTTGCAAGCTTACAGTTCAGGAAATTTGCTGCTGAATGGGAGTTTGAGCATGTGACTTCTTCACCACGTCATCCACAAGCTAATGGCAAAGCTGAATCTGCTGTGAAAATTGTGAAGAATTTATGCAAAAAAGCTAAAAGTGATGATAAAGACGCATGGAAAGCCCTCTTTCTTTGGAGAAACACTCCAACAGAGGGTATGTATAGTAGTCCGGCACAGAGACTGATGTCAAGGAGATTAAAGAGCTCCTTACCAGTAGCCAACAAGCTGCTTGAACCCTCTGTAATACAAGGTGTACCAGAAAAGTTATGACTTAAGAGGCAAGTGTTTAAGCTAGATATGACTCCTCTACTAGGGATTTACCTGAACTGAATATTGGGGAACAAATCCGTATGAAAACGCTTCCTGGAGATCAAACAGGTCGCTGGAGAATGGGAGCCTGTCTGCAAAAAGTTGCACCAAGCTCTTATCTTGTGGATATCGAAGGAAGTCTCTACCGACGCAATCGTGTGGATCTGCGAGTGGCTGAGAAGCCCAATTCTCACTATCCAGCTGACAAGCCAGACACACCTGGTATTCCAAGGACACACTCACATGTCGGCAGTGAAGAAGTAGTGATACCACAGACTAGTACTAATGACAGCCCTGAGAAAGCAGGACCTGACAGCAGTCAAGTGCAAAGCATGCCAGTAAGTGGTGGGAAGAGTCCAGTAACCTCAGAGAGGGCTAAAAGACTATTTGCACAACCTGGACCAGTCCTCACTCGTAGTGGCAAACATTCACAACCACCTGAGAGACTTAACCTCTAGAATGTTATTACAAGGACAGTGTTTCACAATGTTGATTTATTAATACTTAAAGAGGACGATGTTATGGATGTTATGTTTTGTTTACATGCAACTAACTCTATGGTTTATTCTCTATTGCATGTGTTTCCTGTTGGGGTGTGTACTTCCTTCCTGTATCTCCTGAAACATGGCTGCTATACATTAATACCTGGCAGGGTCTTTATTTATATCTCCTGAAACAACGCCCGGGACATGCAGTTCCAGGCACCGGGCAGGTAGTTTTTTTTTGCTTTTAGCCCTGCTGCGGGCTAGCAGCAGAGTGACTTGTCGGGTCCTCGGCAGTTTGCCCTTTGGGTTGCCGGGTGCAAGGCCCCTCCGGTCTGCCCACAGAGAGAGCCAGCACAGTCTGCAGCTCCCCCAGCTGTGAGCTGCAGACTGTGCAGTATCTCGCGACCTACAGCCAATCTGAGTGTTGCCGGGAGTTGCCACGGCAACGCTCTTACCGCCTGGATATCGTGAGATACTGCACAGTCTGCAGATTCAACCCAGTGGAGCGGCAAACTTGAGGGAAGGCACACGGACACTGGACCACCAGGAAACAAAATAAAAAGGTATTTCTAAACACCCCTAATTCGGTCACCAGTCACCCCCCCTCCCTCCCACACTCTACCACCAGTTTTTAAAGGGGCGCTCTAGGCACCAGAGCCATTACAGTTTAATGTAGTGGTTCTGGAGCAAAGATGTTGACCCTATAGGCTCAGCAGTGTAAGCACTGCCTTTTCTGTAACCAAGCATGTCAAAGGATATAAATGGCCTCATGAGATTGACTCACTTAAATATAGTTCTATTTTTGATAAAGTAAGCTACAATTCTCATTTGGAAATGATTCTGTTTAAGTTCACTACCTACTTGCATTTTGTTAATTGCATTGAAGTATTGTTAGGTCAGTCTCCTCACTTACTATCAATAAAGACCTTATTTAACTATGGTTTTAATAAAAAATTATTTTTTGTATCAGAACAAGTAGATTGGGCAAACGCCTTAGTCCCTGGACAAGTAGAAGTTTTTGTTTGTTTTTTAAATTTCAACACTCCTCGTACAAACATTTTCCAGTTAGTGTTGCTGCCATCTATTTCCACATCTTTAGCTCTTGTGCTACAGACCTGGACCTAAGGAATTGTAAAGTATTTTTTTTTTTAAAGAATGTTAATTCAGGTTTTCACAAACACTGTGGGAAACCCTTTCTTAATACAGTAGATAGCAGGTTGCTTCACAGGCATACATCAATTAATACTATTCAAATTAGGATAAGTCACTTTTTGTGTGCTCACATTTGTACACCTTAAGCTTGTACATTGGATTATCTTTACGGGCATTCAATTACTGCTCTTACCGTCAAACTCTGGAAAGTAGTCTACAAGGTGAGAATACATGATCTTATCTTCCAGCAGGTCTTTCTTATTTAGGAACAAAATGACAGATGAATTCTGGAACCAGGGATACGTGATGATAGTTCTAAACAGAGCCTTGCTCTCCTCCATACGATTCTACAAAAAAAAAAAAAAGAAATACATATCTATTAGCCTTTAAAATCACACTGACAACAAAGAATACAGTACAAGACAAAGGAAAAAAATTAAACAGATTTAAAAAACAAAAACAAAATCAATATAGCAGTTTAAAGCACCATATGGTCCTCCAGACAGAGTAGTTAGTTAAAATAAAAAACCCATTATGCTCTCCATGTAGAAATGTATTCTAATAAAATCTATTAAACTCTTATATGTAAGAGATAAAAAAAAGGACAGGCATATTGGAAGTCAGTTTTTTTTATTTGTTCTCGCCATTTATATAGCGCCAACAGATTCCGTAGCGCTTTACAATATTATGAGAGGGGGGATTTAAGTATAAATAGGACAATTACAAGAAGACTTACAGGAACGATAGGTTGAAGAGGACCCTGCTCAAACGAGATTACAGTCTATAGGAGGTGGAGTATAAAACTGGAGCTGGAGGAGAGAGTAGAGTTCTTTAGGAGAGAGCAAGAGACAGGTATGCGAGGTAGAAGTTAGTCTGGGAGGCCATAAGCTTTCCTAAAGAGATGAGTTTTAAGGCACTTCTTAAATGATTGAAGACTAGGGGAGAGTCTGATGGCGGTAGGCAGGCTATTCCATAGGAAGGGAGCCGCCCGTGAGAAGTCCTGCAAGCACGAGTTGGCCATACGGGTGTGAGCAGTGTACAGGAGGTGGTCACGGGCAGAGCGGAGAGAGGAGAAGGGGCATACCTATGAATCTGTGATGACATAAGAAGGGCTAGAATTGTTCAGTGCTTTATCGGTATGTGTTAGCACTTTGAATTGACTCCTATAGGATACAGGAAGCCAATGTAAGGACTGACCAAGTGGTGAGGTGTGAGAGGACCGACTAGAGGAGAAAATCAGTCTGGCAGCAGCATTCATTACAGACTGTAGAGGTGCAATACGGCTTTTAGGAAGACCAATCAGGAGAGGGTTACAATAATTCATGATGGAAATTACTAGAGCATGGACAAGCTCCTTGGTAGCATCTTGGGTAAGAAAGTGACGGATGCGGGCTATGTTCTTAAGATGGAATCTACAGTATTTGGCAACATACTGGATGTGAGGCCATAGTCAAGTATGAAGCCAAGACAGCGCGCTTACAAAGATGGACTTAAGTGGATAACACTAACTTGAAGGGAGAGCGAAAGAGGAGGATCAGTATTGGGAGGAGGAAAGACAAGTAGCTCAGTTTTAGAGTTCCCTGCAATGTATTGTCTCCCTCAGATATACAAGAGTCAGAAGGCAAGTCCAGTGCCTATAACACCCTTGTCAAAATGCACATTTTGCTGTAGCCTCCTAGCAACAGTCTCTGACAATAGGCACTAGACTTGCATCTTGGGCGTAATCACCTCTGGCTACTAACATAGGGGAACACCTGCAACTACTACACAAGACTACGGACGAGAATATATAGGACACTGAGGAGGATAACATAGTGGAGAGATTTGTGAGAGTCACAATATGCCTATAATACTCACTAACTAATGCATATTTGAATCTATTTTGCTTTAATAAATTGGCATATGGAGAACACTATGGTGTTTTAACACTGTGTATAATCAGAAACAAAGATCCCAGTGGACAGTATAAGTCTTTGGAACTTTTCAGTTATTTTCTTATTCAACGGAGGGTTTTGTTTTGATATCAAATGTGTTATTAATAACCATCAGTTGTCTTTCGAAAGTTTGACGATAACTGATGCCGATTTTTTTTTTTTTTTTTAAATAGACAATTTCTACATAGCTGACAGCAATCACACTCCTATCATTCTCAGGCAGCTGTAACATGGTGGAATCAGTGAGATCACATCATATACAATGCTGTTACTGATAGGGGTGTGATTGCTGACATCAATTGCACTCCTATTACTTTCAGCCAGCTGGCCAAGTATGTTAAATCATCCACTGCCTCACTTCCCTGCTTTCAGTTGAGCTTAGCATGCAGGAACCCATAGGGAGTTGTGATGTGAGGTTGCAGCATGCAGGAACCCATAGGGAGTTGTGATGTGAGGTTGCGACATGCCATTCCACTGCCTGGCGGCTGGGGTTTCCAGATGCATTAGATGGCATGTGGTGACTGGAAGAGGTGAGTAAGTTATCGGTAATATCTGAAAATTACAAGCTGAACCGATAATTGACCTATCCCTAACTTTAAACATCCCCACATTTGCTTTGTCATTCTAGATACATTCGATTAATATTGTGGTATTTTTCTCTCTCTCCCATTAGTGGCTTTAAAATATTTGTTTTCACTTATAACTAGTTCCCAAATGCTTTTTGCTTCCACATGTGTATGCTCTGGTGGTGGTGTTTTTTTTAAAATTTACATTGTGATACTTTACCTCCAGAGTATAATTGTCTAAAGTGAACTGTGAATTCTTAAGAATTTAGATCATTGAATATAACATCGAAAATCCCTTAAAACTTATGTTAAAGGAACACTATAGTTTTAGGAATACAAACAAGTATTTCTATTCAGTTTTTATTTTACCATGTTAATGCTCCACGCCACCCCCCGTTTGTAATGGTAAGTTTTACTTCACGTTTCATTTCTCATCTCTGTATAATTTCTCTAGGCTTTCTGCCAGATGCAAAGTACACAGCTGATAATCACTGACCAGGAACTAAGATGGAGGTGATAGGACAAAGGGATGTGGATTTCTACATTCAAATTTTAAAATGTGTCCCCGATTAGGGTCAATCATGTTACCAAGTGGCAGTACCATGGTGGGTATTATAGTAGCAAAACCTGGAAGTACAATTTTTTACTGCTGCATTTCTGTTCAGAGGCCCTAATATGTACATGGTACAGGGACTATAAAGTTGAATCTGAAAACATTCAAAGATCTCGGTTAGTGTTAAAATACTGAAAAGGAGGCAAGATGTTAATTCACAAAGCAATTGAAATACAATGTATCTATGATAAATTTAAATATTTGTTGGAGCTGTTAAATCTTTTATAACTTAATTTTAAGGTGCATACCAAAAAAAAATCCATATGAATTACTCCACAACTCATGAAGGGTACCTCATTATCCGATTCCACAAGGACCTGGTCATATTCACTTAGAGCTACAAGGAACATTATGGAAGTAACATTCTCAAAGCAATGAATCCACTTCCGTCGTTCTGATCTCTGACCGCCAACATCCACCATCCTATAATACAACAGAATGGTCAGTGTAACAAGATACAAATCTGTGAGAATGCAATCACAAATTAAACAATTATTAAAACTAAATAAATAAAAACAAACAAAACACAAGCCTACAATAACAATCTAGTTACTAACCAAAATACCACTACAATGATTATTTTAACCCCATTTTAAATGAAATTGAAAATATACAAAGACTAACAATGTGCTATATTTATTGGCATATCTGTACATACATAGGGTTTAGTTCATGCACATTACAAATTCAGAGTTCCTAGAAAAGAAGATAAAGAAACACTGTGGGTTCGAGTTTCTACAGAAAGGACAGTACAATAGTGAATACAACACATCTGCAGTCAGACATAGATAATGTTTTGGCTGGAATTTATGAGCTACATGCATCTGAATAATAATTCAGGAACCCAATGTGAAGAAAAGGGGTAAAAAGTTGTAGTCAACAATATTTCATGAAGGACAGGTCATGCTACAGCAACTTAAAGGAACACACCAAACACCGCAGTCTGCCCTGATGATTACAGCGGCAGAATAACACTTGTGCTGTCCTATGGCAAAAGTTAAACCATTTTAGCACAGTTTAACAACTTACCTGGTTCCAGCTGGGAGCAAGCTACAGAGCAAAGCAGGAGCATGTTGGACTGCGCTCAATAGCGGATATCGTCAACTGAGCGCTATCCAACAATGATATCCCCACAAAAAAAAAACCACCACACTAATGCAGGGAACGGGGAAAACAAAAATTACCCGAAACTTGTACACCAGTTAGACACTACAGGGGTGTTTCAGGGCCTCACTCCAATTATAAAAAATAGGCACTTCTCCTTGTCACAAGGAAAGGTGCAACCAGGAATTACTGAAAAGTATCGTAAACTGTGTGGAATGTAGCAAAGACTCGTATATAAAATTGGACTGGAGAGGACATCCATAAGAATAAATCAAATACCAAAATGATATTAATTACTGTGAGACAAGCCTTATAAGGCTACTTCTAAACCTAACCACCAGAAGTAGTGTGATAAGGCCAGTCTCACAGTAATTAATATTATTTTGGTATTTGATTTATTCTGATGGATGTCCTCTCCAGTCTGATTTATATATGAGTCTTTGCTACGTTCCACACAGCTTAGAATACTTTCAATAAATTCAGGTTGCACCTATCCTTGTGACATGGAAAAGAACCTATTCTTTTTTAACCTATATTTCTACAAAAATATCTGACCTCCCCTACTGGAGAAGATAGGATGTGGCATGGGTGCTTAGAGGATCCAGTTACATTGTCAATCCCTATTAAAAGCTTTCATTACCTACCTTGGGATAGCACCAGGGCATTCCTTGCACAAAGTATAGGGGAATGCAACCTTTGGAACTCCAGATGCCACATAATGCTTTTACAGCCATAACGTTGGCAAAGCATCAATGAAGATATGGTCCAAAACATTTGGAGTGCCGAAGGTTGCCTACCCCTGCACTACAACCACGACAGAAGGCTGTAGTTGATATAGTAATTAGAGTGTTTCTTTAACTTCATTCCACAAATAAGTAGAGTATTGCAGTAGATGCAATATATTTAATAATTTGCCAAAGTTCTGGATTAAATTCTACACAAAAGGTTGCTGTAAAAATCTATGTTACTGTAAGATGAAGTGTTAAATTGCAAGATAATGCATGCAAATATTTTCTATTTTGAATATATAGTCCTTTTTTAATTAGAAAAAAGTAACCCAAGTATGTGTCATATACAAAGTTAACATGCATTGCATCTACCTGAATATGATATTCTCCAAGTCAAAAGGGTACTCAATGATACCAGTGGTTGGCACTCTGACCCGTAGCACATCTTGTTGTGTTGGCAGGTATCCAGGTTTGGAAATGCGATCCACGTCTGTCAGATAACTGGAACAGAAGAGAAATAATACAAACATCCTGTAAGGAACATAATTAGAAGAATCCTTTTTCACTTGAAAAAAGAAGGGAGTAATTTAAAAATGCTCCACACATCCTATCTAGCAAAGCCACCAGTGTTTGAAACTCAGGAAACCGAATGTCTATGCTTGGAAAATTAGAAGATACAACATAAGCAGCAGAAATCCATTTCAGCTGATGTAAGATACCTTATTGTTATATTAAGGTATATTATATAAAAAGCTATTTGTGGAAAAATAGGGGTTTTCCCGTTAGCAATAAACCTGGGTGACTGTACAGATAACATCTGATTTTATAAAAACAAAAAAAAAAACAAAAAAAAAAAAACGAAAAATACCACTTGCAATATTAAATGTGAATTTGAACCAAAACTCTAGTCCAGGGATAGGCAACCTTCAGCACTGCAGATGTTTTGGACTACACCTCCCATGAAGCTTTGCCAGCATTATGGCTGCAAGAGCATTGTGGAAGATGTAGTACCGGACTAGTAATTCAGGCATACTCACTATTTGGCGGAATCTGACAGCTGGTATTCCCGCCGCCGATCATAGCATTCCTGAATCCCAGGGTCATTCCACAGGTTTTTGATTGCGGTCACATACGGCTGTTCAAAAGAGTTTACCTTTTCCACATCCACTTCTCGAACAAGCAGAGCATTGGACTGAAGAAAAACATTAATGGGATGTCAATAATAGGTATATTTTATATAAAAAGCATACTCTACAGAAGTTGTGAATGCTTAAACAAAAATATCCAAAAATCACATTCACCTTAAACAAATTCTCTGCACATACAAACTTGCAGCAAACTGGCTGACCTGTAGTGGGATTGCAATCACCTGAACAAGCAGGCAGGGTTGTGAAGATGACCAAAGATACATTTTATAAGTAAAACACTTAACATTGTCACTTTTTTTTTTTTTTTTTAACTTCTAACAAATATGAAACAATTCTTTTAAAGAAAAGAAAGAAAAAAGGTCCCTACTAGCCATTTCATATTAGAGATCATTGGCTATAGTTGCTAGTTAAGTTATTTTAAACATAGCCATTTATAACCAGGAATCATAAAGTTAGATTCCACGTATTTGGTCTAGACCAGCAGTTCTTGAACTTTTTCACTAGGGACTCAAATGTTTAGTAGATAAAATAAAAAAAGACTAGCACTCACTGCAGCTTTCAAGAGGGTGTCTCCGGGCCTCTAATCCAGTCCAAAAAATATATATATCTTAATATATATATTAAATATTAAAAGGTGGCCCTGCACCCAAGTACTAATACATTTCCTTTAACCCCTTAAGGACTGGACTGTTTTTGCGATGTTGTACATTTGCGACCAGGCCTCTTTTTACACTTTTCTGGTGTTTGTGTTTAGCTGTAATTTTCCGCTCTCTCATTTACTGTTCCCATACAAATTATATATTGTTTTTTTCAGGACAAAAGGGGCTTTCTTTACATACCATTATTTATATAATCTCATGTATTTTAATTTAAAAAAAAATAAAAAAATATGAAAAATTGAAAAAATACATGTTTTTTGACTTTTACTTGAAAAATCTTTTACTCATCTGCAAAAGTGAATGAAAAAAACTGCTAAATAGATTCAAAATTTTGTCCTGAGTTTAAAAATACCCAGTGTTTACGTGCTTTTTTTTGCAAGTTATAGGGCTATAGGTACAAGTAGGATATGGCGGTTTCAAAAAAAATTTTTTTTTTTTTTTTTAAATGTATCAATAGTGACATTGTAACACTATTATCTGTCATAAATCTCTGGAAAACACTCCACATGTATATATATTTTTTAAAGTAGACAATCCAGGGTATTCATCTAAGGATATTTTGACACTTTCTATGCAGCCATTTTACCACAAGTCTTTGCCAAACTTTGCATAGGTAGTTTTTTTTTTTCACATACATTGCAATTCAGGTATAAACTTACAGATCCTGTTATGTCTTGCTGCTAAAAAACACACTAATATATGTTCAGCAATATCTCCTAAGTACAGTGATACCACCCATGCATAGGATTCTTGAGTTGTTTGGCAGCTAAAAGGCCACATTTTGCAGGTGCGCATATCCATTTTCCAACTTGGAATTTTGACATGTAGTCAACCTGCGCACATGTCCTATTTGGGACATTTGTAAGGCCGGCCAATGTATTTTACCCCCACCAAACCATATATTTTTAGAAAGTAGACACCCTAGGTTATTTCAAATGGTGTTTTTTTAACACTTTCCATGCACTAATTCTACCACCAGACTTTGACAAACATTTAGGTAGTCGTTTTTTTTCCACACACACATTGTACTTTAGGCATGAATTAACAAATCGTGTTATGTGTCACTGCCAAACAACACGCCAATGTGTGTTCAGCAACATCTCCTGAGTACAGTGATACCACCCATGCATAGGCTTGTCGGATTTTTTGGGGGCTAAAAGGCCACATTTGGCAGGTGCACATATCCATTTTTCAACTTGGAATTTTGACATGTAGTCAACCTGCACACATGTCCTATTTGGGCCAATGTATTTTACCCCCATCAAACCATATATTTTTGAAAAGTAGACAACTCAGGGTATTTTAAATGGTGGTAGTTTAATACTTTTCATGCAATAATTCTACCACCAGCCTTTGGCAAACTTTTGGGTAGTAATTTTCTTCGAGTTTTTTTACACATACATTATACTTTAGGCATGAATTAACAGATCCTGTTATGTATCACTGCCAAACAACACCCCAATATGTGTTCAGCAACATCTCCTGAGTACAGTGACATCACCCATGCATAGGTTTGTTGGGTTGTTTGTGGGCTAAAAGGCCACAATCGAGACTTGTACATATCAGTTTTTCAACTTGATATATAGGTATGCTTGGCCTATCTTCAGTTTGGCATATTTTTGCATCCCCCCGTTAATGTTAACATCATGAATGTTTATATTTTTATAAAGTAGACATTCCAGGGTATTGTATATGAGGTGTTTTCACATCCTTCCCCCAACCATTGTGCTAAACAAATTTCAGAGAACGTGCATGGTGGTAATTTTTTAATTCTGCTTTTTATGCACACGTCATCTGGTTTTGGCCAGCCAGTTATATGTTACTACCATAAAACTTTTTTAACCAAATGTGCAGGTATCAAATGCAACTTTAGCAGCATTCTCTAAACTAACTCCTGCAAAAAAGAATCTAATTGGAGATTTGGGGGGAAGGAAACTGACTAAAATGTGCTGCTTTCAAAAGAAAAAGAAAAAACAGTGCAAAGGGGTGGGTGTCCTTTTCCCTTTTTTATAACAGACCCAGCAACATTTCAGGGGGTTTGTTTTTTTTGCAGTTGGCGGTATCTTAAAAATAAAATGTCTGGACTCCTTTGGCACCGTTGTTGGAACTTGACCATCTCCATAAATTATGGTGGAAATCAGCGTGAACTAAAATTGGAGAAAGGTGGTTTTGTTCTGGATTCATTTTTTTTAAAGAGTAAAAATGAATTATGTGTTGCTACTTGCATCAGGTAGATAGCCACCTTTTTATACCAGGCTTTTGTCTTTCTTAAGATAAGATATGGCTGCATCAGCTGATCAGCCAAATCAACACCCCATGTGCATTTTATAAGCCCTGATGCAAACAGGTTTGGTCTGTACTCTGCCTCGGACAGTGACGTCTGACATGCTTTCGTCATGGATGGTGGTTAGTATATTAACATCCTTCCAGACTTAAATTTTATTGCAAGCACTTTAGCTTTGTGCAGACCTTTACATTCACTTTTTTTTTTTAATTTGGCCTCTATAAAAGGTCTGGGGAAATCCTTGGCATATCTTCTCACACTGCCACAGGCCAGTATCTAGAAACCCTAAAGAGAAACAAACAGACAAGGGGATCAGTAAGTCAAAAACAAGTTTCCCACTTGTCCTCAGAGAGTCAGTACAGCCAGGAGGGTCCAGTTGACCATCTTTCCCCTCATATATACGAAAGGCAAATGTATAGCCACTTTCGCTCTCGCACAGTTTGTAGAATTTTATGCCATACCTAAAGTGCTTTGAGAGGATGTATTGTTTGAATCCTAATCTCCCTTTATATTTCATTAACGATTCATCATGGGTGTGATCTCTGGGGTGACAGAGGGTATTGTCATTGAAATGTAAGTATCTCAGCAGCAGCTCAAATCTTGTTCTAGACATGGCTTGAGAGTACACTGGACTAGAACAGATTGGGTTGGTGCTCCAGTAAGAGCGAATTGATGGCTTCTTTAAAAACCCCACATGAGAATTGTAAGAATGTTTTAAGTTCAGGGACATCTGTGGGATGCCAAGCATGCTCCTTGACTGTATAGCTACCTGGATTGGTCTCAATAAATTGGCTAGCGTATAAATTAGTCTGGGAAGCAATTTCCTCCCAGATGGTATCCCCTAAAAATAACTCCATATATTGTATAGGGGAGAAGTCAACCACATTCACATTAATGCCTGCGTTGGCACTAAAAGGGGGGATGTTGGGCTCAGCTAACTGTGGAGGTACCCAGTCCTCCTCCACATTCAGCGTAGCAGGGGAAGCACAGCTTCTTTTAGCAGCTGGCTCACACACAGATAACATGTCACTAGACGTGCCGCTAAACTGACATGGGTCAAAATCGGACGCAGTGTCAGTGGCGTCAGAGTCTGACACCAAGAAGGCATATGCCTCCTCCAAGCTGTACATGCGCTGCATGTTTCACACTAACAGACTAAACTAACAAAATACTAAACAATAATTTTTTTATTTTATTTTTTAACACTAAAACAGACTAAAACAGTAATCCCTAAACTAACTCCTGTTAGAAGAATCTAATGGAGATTTGGGGGAAGGAAACTGACAGTCTAAGACGCAGATTTTTTTTAAATAAAGTTAACCCTTAAGGGCAAAATTCACTGGTGATACTTTTTAATTCTCTCTGGAACAGCTGCTGCAACAAACTATCACGATCTCTGTCTCTCTCCTCTCACAAAACGCTACAGAGGGGAGAGAGGCAGAGATCAGTGTCAAAGTGAGTGTTTGTAACACCCACTTTGACACCAACCAATTGTGAGCCATCACTGGGATGCCGGGCAGATAGTAACAACGGGATTTCGGCGGGAGTGATCGGCCCGTTTTCCGTTAGGACGGTTCAGGACCGTCCTCAGTCGGCAACGCAAAAATGCAGAGGACGGTCCTGAACCGTCCTGCGGGGGTTTATGCGTACCAACAGCAGAAACGTTTCAACCAAATTATAGAATCTTGATAAAAGACCCTATTACTGGGTCCAAATGTTGCTAAAAGGAGTTTATAAGTGCTGAGGAGTGGTGTTCAGTTTGGTTTTAATTCAGATTATGTATGCTACATTAGCTTAGTCACCATACTTCTATTGGAAAATAACTCAGTGGCCCATCCTTCAGGTTTATAATCAGCATTAATATTTAGACTGGTCTTAATTTCAAAGGGATTTCCAGTGCACTGAGGAAAGCAATGTAAATACAGTAAATAACTTATTTGCCATTTGCCTGGGACCCCTTTGAAAGGATGTGTCTGTAGACTTGCACCAGCAGGGCCCACCACTGTAAAAAGTACTGATGTAGACTTGCACCAGGGTGACCATGTGAAAAGAACATTGAGGACCACTTTTAGATCTGGACAAAGGGGTTTAAAAATCACCATTGTCTTCAATAATATTTGCAATAAAAATTCTTCCAATAACATCAATATATTTTAGGCACATCTTTTTCCAATTATAAGCAATGGCTTACAAGCAATAAATAATGGAGGTGTAAATAAAAAATAAAAAAAACGCTCGCCCAGCAGTCGTAAATAATGTCAAGACTTTCTCACTGAAGGTTTTTTAGCCACCAAGCTACTTTTTCTGGCAGCCCTACCATTTTCATGCAATGACTGCAATCTTGCAAACAAATGCTCCTTTGGATTACATATCCTCTTTTACTCTGAGTGTTCCAGGATGTATTTTCAGCATATATATGTATAATTCCTGTAATCTTTCTATTTTCCCGTTAAAGAAGAAAATTGAAAGGGAATGGGGATTAAAGTGCCATATTGAACTAATACACTCTAAACACTACAATATATATTCAATAATAACTTAACAGAAAAGGAATACTTGTAAAGTATATATAAAAAAAGTTTGTTAAAGTTGGTCCAAACCTCTCTCACACCCTATCATTAACTGCAATCGAGCCATTCCTTCAGTTGATACCACATCAAGCCAGCATATGACTAGTCAGTCTGCTGTAGCTCGAGCACAGGTTGGCGATGTCATTCCTAATCATCCTATGTTTTTACTGCAGCATGTTAGATTGAGTGAATGTTGTGGTGACAAATTCTGTTTCAAGACATCTGTTCCCTCTGATTTTCGCAATCATTGTAACCAACTCTCAATCCTGAAACTCCACATCCCTCCAACACCACAACATTGTTACCCTGCATTCCCACAACAAAGTTATTTTGCCTTCCCCCAGTCTTACAAGATTTTAAGAGTTGTTTTTCTGGCACTATAGAATCTTTTTTTTTTTTTTTATTGTATATAGTGCAGTTTCTCTCTGTGATAACTTTCAGTCGGCTGCTGACAACCTGGTATCTTTAGTCAAACTGAATGACAAAAAAAATATGAAAAAATAAAATAAAAATGTGAGGGGGTATTTTTAACTAAACATATGATGAACTTATCTAAGCAATTTTCCAATAACCCCATAGCCTATATACCCAATATGATCAACATCTCTCCCGCCCAGAACTGCTGTTTTATCCAACCCCAGAGTCTTACAGTCTGGGCACTATACAGCATTTATGAAGTTTACTCCCAGGATTCAAGCACTGTGGCTTAAACTAGGGATCGACCGATATTGATTTTTTAGAGCAGATACCGATATTCTGTGAACTTTCAGGCCGATAGCCGATATAATTTGCCGATATTCTGTACATTTACCATTTTGGAAAATAAAAACTATTTCTAAAAGTAAATGCACAAAATATACATGCCACGTGTAGTGGATGCAGTGTGTTTAGACAGGGGAGCTGTATGTGTTTGTGTAGTGGATGCAGTGTGTGTTTGTGTAGTGTGTGTAGTGGATGCAGTGTGTGGATGCAGTGTGTGTAGTGTATGTGTGAATGCAGTGTGTCTTAGTGTAGTGTGTGCAGTGGATGCAGTATGTATTAGTGTAGTGTGTATATAATGAAAGCAGAGTGTTTGTGTAGTGTGTGGGTAGTGTGCGTAAAGTGAATGCAGTATATACTAAATGCAAAGTGTGTGTGTTTGTGTAGTGTATATAATGAATGTAGTGTGTTTATATAATGCAGAGTGTGTGTGTTTGTATAGTGTGTGTATATAATGCAGTGTGTTTGTGTGCATTATATAAACACACTATGCAAACACACACTGCATTAATTATATACACACACTAAACACACTGCATTATATACCCACACTACACACACACACACACACTGCATTATACATACACTACACACACTGCATTATATACGCACACTGCACACACACTACACTATATACACAGTGTGTTTGTGTAGTGTGTGTGTATATAATGCAGTGTGCTTGTATAGTGTGTGTATATAAAACGCAGTGTGCTTGTATAGTGTGTGTATATAAAACGCAGTGTGCTTGTATAGTGTGTGTATATAAACGCAGTGTGCTTGTATAGTGTGTGTATATAATGCAGTGTGCTTGTATAGTGTGTGTATATAATGCAGTGTGCTTGTATAGTGTGTGTATATAATGCAGTGTGCTTGTATAGTGTGTGTATATAATGCAGTGTGCTTGTATAGTGTGTGTATATAATGCAGTGTGCTTGTATAGTGTGTATATATAATGCAGTGTGTTTGTGTAATGTGCATTATATAAACACTACACAAACACTGCATTATATAAACACACTACACAAACACTGCATTATATACACACACTATACAAACACACTGCATTATATACACAGTGTGTTTGTGTAGTGTATGTGTATATAATGGAGTGTGTGTGTGAGGGGGGGGCATTTTTTATTACATTATATATATATATATATTTATATTTAATTATTTATTTTTGTTGTCCCTCCTCCCTGTTTCATACCTGGCCAGGGAGGGGGGATATAGCAGTCCCTGGTGGTCCAGTGGTATTGGCTCACCTCCCAGTGAGAAGAATGCTTTCCTATGAGACTGGCTGAATGCGTGCACAGCTCATGCCGCGCATGCGCATTCAGCCGAAGAGGAGGATCGGAGGCGGAGAGGAGGAGGAGAGCTCCCCGCCCGGCGCTGTAAAAAAGGCAAGTTTAACCCCTTTCCTTGCCATCCATCCCGGCGGGAGTGGGACCCTGAGGGTGTGGGCACCCTCAGGGCACTATAGTGGTCCTTTAACAGTAGATTTGTATAGAATTTGTTTATTTTTTACAAAATGGTAAGTGTACAGAATATCTGTAAGTTATCTGCTATCAGCCTGAAAGTTCACAGATTATCGGTAACGGCTCAAAAAAAAAAACCCAATATCGGTCGATCCCTAACTAAAATCGCTCTATCCCTCTGCTTATCCATTTAATTTCTCCCTCTTTACATCACTCTTCTCTCTGTCCATCCCATGCACTTTACTCATACTTATCCAGCCTTTCTCCACAAATGCCTCCAGAATACATGCTTTCATGACGAACGTATAAATCTTATTCTTACAATCTCTTTCTATCCATCCTTCTGCTTCTGGCAGCTGGTGATCTCTTTCCAAACCTGGTCCCTCCTCAACTAAGCTACCTTGTGCTAACAGCAGAAACCACAACAATCTGTAATCTATGCCATGTAACTCTTCCTTTAAGCCCTCCTTCCACACTGGAATGCACGCTCTTGGTGCAGCATCATTAAGTCAACTTCTATCCAAGACTTATTCATCTCACATTCCCTAAACTTACATGCACAAATTGAAACATGGCTCTCTCCCAGATATTGCTACCCCTGCCTCACTATCCTTTCATGGTCTTCATATTACCCACAACCCAAGACAGTTCTTCAGTAATAGTGGTGGTGTACGATTTCAGCTTTCACCCAGCTGCTCTAATTTAACCCTCCCCCCTTTTCCATCTTTGAAATTCACGGTTTAAACCCATATCTGCAAACATAGACATTATTTATTGCTCTCCCTGTTGACCTCAGGCTATCAGCCAATGTCCATTCTGAACTCTCATCCATCCCTACCTTCCCATGTCCCTCTCTGGCTATCTCCTCGTTTAATGCTACACTCACCTCTGTCCTGAACACTGTAGTCCCACTCCAAATATGCACATCACAAAAGACGCACCTCCACTCATGGCACACTAAGTCGACCCCCGTCCTGCAGATACTGCCGTTCAGCTGAACACTGCTAGAGGAAGTCCCGAACCGTGCCAGACTTTCTCCACTCTAAATTTATCTTGCGTTCATATAGCGCAGCCCTCACCCTTGCTAAACAATCATGTTTTTCCTCTCTCATTAGTTGATACTCTCGCCATCCCAGGCATCTCTTCGATACCGTCAACTCTCTCCTTTGCCACATTGATGCCAACCCCCAAAATAATCTTTTAGCCAATAGCTTTGCATGCTACTTTACCAACAAGATTTGCATGGACACTTAATATTTCCTCATAGAGATGCAGCCAGGGCGGCTGTGCCTCTAACCTAACTTGTGCTGGCTCTGCCTTTAACCTGCCTTCTTGACTGTCTCAACCAATCTTATAGGAAAGCATTGTGATTGGCTTTTGATCAACACTTCTTATGAGGTCAGCCAAGCAGGCAGATCAGGAGTAGAACAAAAATGCACTTAACGCATTTCGCCACTTTTGATAAAGCCAGCCATTTGGTGAAACGCGTTAAGTGCATTTTATACTATTGTATGCAAGTATATTTCACTCTTACTGTTTTTTTTTAATCAATAAAAAGTACTTTATGGGACCATACTGATCGCTGCTGGATTTTATGGACAGTTAGATCCTTGGTGAAAAAAAACAAAAAAAACAAAAAACAAACAAAAAAACTGTGGAGCAATCGTTACTTGCTCCACAGAATGCGAGTACGGTTTTATTATACAGCTCATATTTTAGTTCTACAATTACACACTATGGTGTTTCTTTTCTTTTTTTCCTAATATATCTACACACTGAGAGGCACAAGCACCTATCATATCCTAGAGTAGGCATCATACCACTCCAAGCCATATCTGGGGAGCCAACGTTCTGGCTCCATATCATGTGAGTGCACATCTTTGATCTTTTCTTTTTGGTTTGACATGCTACACCATATTGTCTCTATTCTCCTTCTACATATCTATGAAGATATTGTTGTAAAGAGGAAGACCACATCATATCTAGGCGGGAATTATTCCTCCCAAGTGCAAAAGATTGGAGCTACACCCAGGATCCTATAAAGTGTGAGTGGACTACCTCTTTCCATCTTTTTATCACTGTATTTGACATACTACATCATCAATTTCTTTCTTTTAAATTTTACATACTTGCAAGGACTTGCAAGGACCAGGAGCAAAGCCAGCAGCAGCAGACTGGAGTAAAGGCAAGATTACACTATATTTAGGGAGTGCAAGGGCAGGCCACAAAATGGATGGTGGTTTTAACACTATTGAGTCAGGAAAACATGTTTGTGTTCCTGACCATATAGTGTCCCTTTAAGGAAAGAATTCGCCCCTGCTCTCTCTCTCTCTCAACCGCACCTGGATTGTACCTCTTCTACCCTTCAGGCCTTCTCCCCAGCTACTGAACAGGAGGTGAATCCACTTCTCTCATCCCAAAACTTGTCCACTTGACACTAACCCTTCTCGCCTTATAAAGATCTCTCTCCCTTTGTCTTGTACCACCTTTACAATGCAAATCTTCAACTGCTCTCTTTTGTCTTCCGGAATTGTCTGGTGTTAGACTACTGTCATACCCATTCTAAAAATAAAAGCCATCTCTAGACCCATCTTCCCTTTCAACTATGGTCCCATATCCCTGTTCCCTTTTTCCTCAAATATTCTAACAATACCACATCATGTATAACCAATTTCAGATTTTTTTTTACTATATTATTGACAATCACATATTTAAAAATACATCTCCATACAAAACTGAAAATACCAATGGTACACTATATTACAACAAACAAGGACAGCAAAAATATCCAAAACCACAATAAAGATATATACTCTTTAAAAAAAACGTTTCACAACCCCACCCCAAATAAATGATTTGTATGAACCAGTCTACTACACAAAATAACATTTACCTTGTTTTGCTCAAACTTGTAGAGAATTTTCAGAGTTTCCATGGCCCTTATCATAGACTGCATGGCAGTGAAGATATTCTGATATACAAGTTTGGTGAAGCCCCTCTTATCTTCTTCCGAATATCCAGAGCCATGGATAATCCTCATCTGCTTTATAAATGTGCTTTTCCCACTTTCCCCAGTACCTACAAGAAATTAAAGTATTTAATTAGAACAAACTAAAACTTGAGTATACTGTGTCTTCTGAGTTCCAGTCTGTCACCCATGTAAATCATTATGCAAAGTGTGCTAAAAACTTGCCAAATGAATTCTGTCAGCCAATAATATTTGCCCAAAGACAAGCAGAACTGAGATCACACATGTGGCTGTAGGAACTTCTATATTAATGTGATTAGAAGAAGAAACAAGAAAGTAGTAGCACTGTAAAGTAGGGGTCAAACTCCTCAAAAATGGTTTAACTCAGAGCTCGACTCGAGCCTGTGAGTGAGCGAGTGAGCCTGTGCGCGCCTCAGCGAGTGCAAGCCTAAGCACGCACTCGCCGGTGAGTGAGCGAGCCTGCGCTCTCTCTCGTCGGTCGGTGAGTGAGCGACCGACGAACGAGCCTGCGCCCTCGGTCGGTGGGTGAGAGCGACGAGCGAGCAAGGCTGTGCGTGCGGCGGTCGGCGAGCATGTCAGAGTGAATGTTCAATCTTGAAGATCTCAGTCAAGCCAATGTTTTCCCATGGGAAAGCATTGTGAGGCAATTGCGCATGCGCACAAGACACTACGCTGCACAAGTATCTAATAAAAATGCACCTCTATGGGAAACGTTCAGAGTCTCCATGCAGAGTGTGTAGACGCTGTACGTAGGGTCTGTGTGCAGCATTGGACTAGAAAGCACCTCTAGTGACCGTCTGAGTGAGTGCCACTACAGAGGTTATTAGGCAGCAGTGCAATTACTGCCTTTCCGCTGAAAAGGTTGAGAAGCCTGCATGGACAGGCTATAGACACCAGAACCAATACATTAAACTGTAGTGGTTCTGGCAACTATACTGTCCCTTTAGGATCTGTTATTTTTGTAATTTAAAATGTCTATCTCCTAACAGTTTTAGTTAGCTCCAAGGTTCAAAGCAAATTTGTCCAAAGTTAGCGTTTGTTTTGTGTGAAAAACAAACAAAACAAAAAAAAACCCACAAATATTTGGCCAGTGTTTGTGACTAAGTGGCTACCAAAAATGACTGGACATACCCCATTTGCAATACCTTGGGTTGTCTACTTTTTCAAATTGTATGCCATCATGGGGGTAATTCTCATTCCTGGGCTGCCATATGGTCTCAAATGCAACATAACCAATCTGGCAAATTTCAATGTGAAAAAAAATAAAAATGCAAGTCTTATATTTCTATGCGTTTCTCCGTTCCCAGACGGCTTTGTCAGGACATGAAGCACTTCAAGTCCTGACGAAGCCGCCTGTGAACGGAGAAACGCGTAGACACGGCAGTACGTCAAGAAGGGGTCGGAGCCTGTTCAGGAGCCGGGCATTTCAAAAAAGCAGAAGCAAGACCAGACGCCATCCGGACAAAACAAAAAGGCACCCCACAGACGATCAGCTATCTTCTGGTACAGGAGACATCTCCCAGTGCGGGAAAACCTGTTTGTGGGTAAACGGATTTACACTGTTATACTCGCCACCACATCTAGTAAGCAGTAACCTGCTATACATTTTGATAGTGTTTGGCTTCACTGTTGCATCAATTAAGCAGTAATCTGCTAAATATATGTCAACTAAACAACTAAACATGTGAATTTAGGTGTATTTTATGTTTTTATCATTCTTTTATTACTTTTTATAGCCTGTTATGTATTGATTATTATCTTCTGTTTTTAATTTGTGGCAATACTGTAATAAACTTTCATCCAGCTAATTAAGCGGATTTAATTCAGTGTTTATAGAATTCAATAATATTCACTGATTCATGCAGATCTGTACTATGATCCTTTTCATATATTTTTTACCATATATGCTGAGCTTGAATTGGGATATTAAGCAACAAGCAATATAAGTATAATTTATTTATTTTTTTATCACTTGATTGCATGTGGGAAAGGGGTTTTGTCCTTTAGCTCTAACATTGCTCCACTTCTTAACACTATAATTTATATTTCTTGTATGTGGTGAATGGATCACTTTGAAGTGTGGTAGCAGGCAATTAAAGAGATACTGTGTAATACACAATTGTTAAATAACTCTACTTTACCCCTGTAGAACTGTGTATATTAAACGCTCCAGTATTGTAAGTTTTTTCTAAAGTTTAGAATATGTATGCCACATGAGAAAAAAAATAGATCAGACCTAATTTAGAAAGAAAAAGAAAAAAAAAAAATTGGGATTGGAAAGGCAGTGTAACCGGCAACTTATTTCTTGGCCCTAAAATCAATGACAATTATCTCATGGGTTGAAGAGTGAGGGAGAGCCAGAAGTTTTACACAGTTGTATATAGTGATTCCTGGAAGAAAATTTAGCTCAAGGGTGTGGAAGCCTGTATGCCAACTAAATGAAAAATGTAGTTACTAAAGAAATTCCAATCTCAAACAATACAATATGTATTCTTTGTCCAAACAGGCACTATTTGCATGTCTCTTTCAATTGCAATAGTCACGTCTATGGTGTTTAGATGTCAGATTGCCATAGCCCAGCCCTCAATCACTACAAAATCCAGCCATATTTGGCAGGAAAAACTGAAATTCTCCTAGAAAGGCAAACAACCTCTGGGCGAAGGATATGATTTCAGAATTTTATTTTATTTTTTAAAGGGTGGGGGAGGTGGCGATGTGCACCTGGAGTATGATTTCAACATTAGTACACATGAAATATAAAGCTTCTTTCATTCTACCAACTTCCTCTACTCTAAGCTTCTGTGCAACTTGATGGAACAGTTATACGAAAGGGGTTCAGTCAAATGTGTACTATTTTGATCTGCATTTGTACGTCTATAGAATGCTCTTTTCAGAAGTTGGCCCTTATATACTTTGCAAAGCTTGTAAAAGTTCTTATATGGTAAACATGGAACACAATGTTCATTTCTTTCTCAGTGCATGTTAAAATGGACACTAAGCTACAAAGCCACTAGTTTAATTTAATAGTCTTGGTGCCTAGATACAGTCCCAAAACTCTGACAAACGTAAGCATTGCCGTTTACGAGAAACTGCAATATTTACATTTGTCAAACAGACTGGCTCGCTAGAGTTTCAAAATTACAGCCACTAGAGGTACGCCCTAGTTAAAGGACCACTCTAGGCACCCAGACCACTTCAGCTTAATGAAGTGGTCTGGGTGCCAGGTCCAGCTAGGGTTAACCCATTTTTTCATAAACATAGCAGTTTCAGAGAAACTGCTATGTTTATGAATGGGTTAAGCCTTCCCCTATTTCCTCTAGAAGCTGTCTCATTGACAGCCGCTAGAAGCGTTTGCGTGCTTCTCACTGTGATTTTCACAGTGAGAGCACGCAAGCGTCCATAGGAAAGCATTATGAATGCTTTCCTATGTGACCGGCTGAATGCGCGCGCAGCTCTTGCCGCGCGTGCGCATTCAGCCGACGGGGAGGAGAAGAGGAGGATCGGAGGAGGAGAGCTCCCCGCCCAGCGCTGGAAAAAGGTTAGTTTTAACCCCTTTGCCCTTTCCAGAGCCGGGCGTGAGGGGGACCCTGTGGGTGGGGGTACCCTCAGGGCACTATAGTGCCAGGAAAATGAGTATGTTTTCCTGGCACTATAGTGGTCCTTTAAGACTTTAATTGGTAACAGTCAGCTTTCAGTGCCACGATGACACCAAAGGCAGTGACGTCTCACTATAAAAAAATTGATGTGCATGCACGGTACGGCCATTAATGCTACCCGGTTGAGAAGAATTGTATTGGCTTGTCCTAGTGAGGAAAAGAGGGAAACTGTGGTAGCGCAAATGAATGTAAATCAAGATTAAAGAGTTTCCATAAAATAGGAATATGTTCATATGCTAAATAACACCTATCTATAAGAGATTAAAAAACAAACAAAAACATTTAATTAAGCATTTTTTGCCATTGAGGGTATATATAAAAACAGATTGCAAAAGCTGCTACTCTCTTGTATGCTGCCTAGCAAGCCTTCCCTTTCTTCCCCAGTGCTGACTTTCTGTGCCTGTCCAATCACTGACAGGCCAGAACGTAACAGTACAGGTTGTCTGACTAACAGTCAGGGGGTGTAAAAAGTTTTATTTAATTCTACTGCAAACTACACTTTTTGTTAAATAGGGGTGGGGGGGTGGGTTGAGTGTACCTTTGAGAAATTGGTGACAGTCAGGTAGTTGTACAGCCAAGTAAGCAAACTGGTGTTTGAGAAAAGTAAGGCCTCATTTTAATATATTTGGATAAGCTTTCCAAATTATGACATTTTGGGGGATATACATTTCGAATTACTTTTAACTTATTAAAATATCAAGACACACACACATACACATATATATAAAAAATGTATACACTTTATCCAAAAATATTCAAATTATTTGCAGAGTATATTGAACAAATTTAATGACAAAGTTAGAAAAATGCTATTAATTTTTTTTTTCTGTAATCCAGCTCCAGAACAGTCTCCAGTCTCGTGATCCTTCCACACTCAACCCTCAGAAGCACAAGCACAACAATCTGAAAAATGATGTTCTATCAAATGCTTCTCACAGAAAAGTAGTGAGGACACGGCAATTAAGCCACTCCATAGATTCTCTTAATTAGAAGCATAAGCCATGTTCAGTGTCATGTACATTCAGCTAGAAAACGTTACATACAAATAATAGATCATACACTCAAAACAGTGTTCGGTACTTGTTATTCCAAGCCAAAATAGTAAGCAGTTGATAAAGTTCATACTGGACATGAAATTCCAGAGAGTTTTCAAATATTCCAATATTGTGCATTGTCGTCCAATATGGACTTAAAGGGGCACTGTAGTCACCAGAACAACTACAGCTTAACGTAGTTGTTCTGGTGAGTATAATTATAGGGAGGCATTTTCATGCAAACACTGTCTTCAGAGAAAAGGCAGTGTGTTTACATTGCCCCTAAGGACACCTCCAAGTGGCCACTCCTCAGATGGCCACTGGAGGTGCTTCCTGGCTCAGTGCTGCACAGTAGAGAAAGCATTGGATTGGCTAAAAATCAGCAATTCTGATGATGTTTACAAGGGGACGGAGCCATCGCTGGCAGACGCGCGCAACGCTGGAAATAAGGTGAGGTTTAATTCCTTTTAAGGGGACTAAAGGGGGAGCAAGCCACCTAAATGGTGGGTTTTGCACTATATTATCAGGAATACATGTTTTTGTTCTTCCATCACCTCATATACTCAAACATAGCAGGAAGCACCACCCCTTTCTTTACTGCCACGGAAAACTCCCAACACCTCTGAAAAACAGGTGTTGGTGAACTTCACAGTCAATCCCATAGTGTGCCAGAAGGTACATGGGGATCGTGATCAGCTAAAAAAAATTAAAATAAAAAAGAAAATAAATATTCCCAATTAGAAAACCAACAATGAGTAACTTCAAAAAGTCACACAGTCCCATACACCAAACACAAAAGAGCAATCTAAAACAAAATAGCACAGAGACCCGAGGTTGACTGAGAAAAAAAGTACATGCAAAAGGGATCTATGATTCAAGGCCAGTCAATGCCACCCAAGGGCTGAACAGATTCTACTGATTATGCATTAGCCCACTGATCTACCTCACCGGCAGAATAGCAAAATAGCAAGAGTATATACATAACAATTGAGAGGTAGCAGAAAAATACAAAATTAGGCACAGTTCAAGGCAGGTGCAGGAAAGACTGTCCCAACAACTAAACGTTTGTGATGGCGAACCAGTACCTAGATAGCTTCAGGCCCATACGACACCTCTGCAGAGAAGCAAGTGATGCAGAAATCAACATCAAGGGGCCTTGTAAATCCCAGCACATTAGATGGTAGGTGGATGAAGTGAGAGTATGTACCTTAGCATGCCATTAGTGCCAAGGGAAAACCCCACCAGTAGGGTGGGTTAGCATCTCTGAGCTAACCCAAGTGATGGGGTGCAAAGTTTGGCGGGCCAAAAAGATGTCAGCAAAGCATAAAACTATGTCTTGTGGTGTGGCCCCCTGTGGAGGCAAGGGACAGAGCTCTACGTGCTTTACGTTTTTAAGTACAATATTGTGGCCATATCACTGTCCGAAAAAGTGCATGAATAAGGCCTGTGGAGTGACTACCACCTTTTCACCTAGACCTGCCTCCTTGATTGTGTGCATATTCATTCTTTGGCCTCTGTTATCAAGGTCATCCATCCAGGTAGTAAGCTGGGAAAAGGCACCCTCTCTTAAGGTCAGCAAGAACCTGTAAATCCAGGTTCTCATACAAGAAAAGGCAAGAAAGTTTTTCTGAGAAAACAGAGAGCTCCCCCTTAGAGGTAAACATGGGGAGGATGGAGTGCAAATCAGAGACCTGGCTGTCCTCTCTTGGCAATGTTCTGGCAAGAGAAAACAATCCTTAAGGCTAGGAGGCAGCGCTGAGGCTCTGGGAAGAGCGTTGTTCTGAGCGGGTACCCATCGATGGGCAGGCTATTTCAGCTGCTGCCCGTTCTCAGAATTCTCTTGTGCCCCGTTTTTTGCTCTCCATAAGTTTAAAGGGTAATCCAGAAGTGGACCCCTTGCTCACGGTGCCTAGAGAGATATCAGCTATGCCTCACTGATGATGCCTAACAAGGCTGAAACGATCGGCTGGGGTTGCTGTGTCTCGCGTGCAGAGGAAACTTGCTAGCATTTCGGATCTGGACTGCCCAAATGGATGGGACCAGTCTGATATGCTTCAGATATGTTCTCTCTGTAATGGCACAAGATGAGCTAAAACCAGCTTGAGATCTGAGTGGGGACCCACCGATTTACATGCTATTTCAGCTGCTGCACGTTCTCAGTATTCTCTTGCGCCCCGTTTTTTGTTCTGCAGGTACCTGTAGCTAATTCCCTTGTTTGTGTTATTTCTAATTCAGGGCTTAACAAATTTGCTTTCAATGTAGTAGCCAGTTTTTTTTCAGCATCAAAAAATACAGTACTTAAAGAAATACTATAGCTTAATTTAGTGACTCTGGTGTCTATAACCTGTCCCTGTAGGTTTTTCAATGTACACACTTCCTTTTCAGAGAAAAGGCAGTGTTTACCTTGCTGTCTAGTAACACCTCTAGCGGCAGTCACTCAAACGACCACTAAAGTGTCTTCTATCTCAGTGCTGCACAATGTGGGCACAGGTGAGTGGCTTCCCTGCGGTCCAGTGGGACTGGGCACAGCAAGAGACATTAAATTAGTGGGGCTGGCTGCATCTAATGTGAGTGGGCTGCCGCGAATGGAATGGGGGCTGGTGGTGAATAGAGCCTGTTCTAATTTATTATTTATATTTCTGCTTTAGATATATTCATCCATAGTTGAACAGCAGTGATCGGATGAGAACATGTGCTGTATTTGATGTGATAAAAAGTAGAATGCACACTTGTAGGAGGGTATACCTGTTCTCAAACAGTGAGAGAGGTGGGCTAAGGGAAGGATATTATGATGGTATTACGAATGGAGGGTGAAGATTTAATGGAGGTACGTTATAAAAACAGTGTTTGTGCAAGCCACGCGCACACAGTCCTTCTTGACCGCACTCTCAGGGTAATTTTTACATAGGATTAAAACCAGCTCTGTCACGAGTAGACTCGTGTTTTTTGTGTTCCACAATGACAATATCTTAGTCCAAGACTTGACAAATCCCAGGCGCAAGGTTGACATGGCGACTAAATATTTTGCCCTGGCACCTGGGATTTCTCAATCCCCATGCAGCTCTCTGTGTGACGGGAGGCAAGCTAACATGGCAGGACACTAGGTAAAGACCCATGCTGCAGAGCCGACCCTGCTCCCCGCCCGCCTCCTGCCCCCATGCCGCAGAGCCGACCCTGGCGACCTCCCGTCCCAATGCAGCACACCGGCCGCCCTTTATCGTGCGTGACCTCATCGCTGGGAGGAAGTAATTACAGTTCCCTTCACTTCCTCCCGGCGCACAGAGCTGGAAAGAGAGGAAGCGGCGGAAAGGGGGAAGTCTGGAACAGCAGCTGCCTACTCACATTAGCCGCAGCCAGCCCCACTAACCGTCCTGAGTCGAAAGAGTAGGAGGGTGGCTTAAAAAAAAAAACTTTTTCTTTTTTGATGTCTGTCTGAATGTTTGTGTGTGAATAATAAATAATATTTTGTGTGTGTGTGACTGTCTCTAGCAAGTGTGTGTCTCTCATGTGTGTCTGTCAGTGAATGTTTATGTTTTAGTCACCAGCCCCCTCCGATTGAATTGGGAATTAGGTTTTTACTCATGTTTTATTCCAGCACCGTGCCGGTCTCGCTGCAGCGGGCCCGCCTCCATAGCCGAGATTATCAATTACCAATCAGCATCTCCTTCTAGAGATGCATTAAAGTCGATCAAAAGCATCTCTATGTGAAACGTTTAGCGCCTCCATGCAAAGCGTGGAGTCGCTGAATGTAGGTGCTGCACATTGTGGACTAAGATAGGAGACATTTTAGTGGCCATCTGAGTGACAGCCACTACAGGTGTTACTAGGCAGCAATGTAAAAACTGCCTCATCTCTGAAAAGGTAGCTTTTACACTGAAAAGGCTACAGGGACAGGCTATATACACTAGATCCATTACATTAATTCCTTCTTGACCCCAGAATGGCAGTCAGATTAATCATTGGATCAAGAAGCTATTACCCTACATAGAAAAATTATATCCTTGAATATTCTGTTTTTGCAATTATGCATCTAGTTGCCGTTTGAACATCTGTATGGACTCTGATAAAACCACTTCTTCAGGCAGAGAATTCCACATCCTTAATGTCCTTACAATAAAAAAATAAATAAAAAAAAATTCTCTTTGCCTTAGACGAAATCTTCTTTCTTCCAGTCTAAACACATGAACTCGTGTCCTATGTAAAGTCCAGTTTGTGAATAGATTTCCACACAATGGTTTGTATTGGCCCCAGATATATTTGTATAATGTTATCATATCCCCTCTGAGGCAATGTTTTTCTAAACTAAAGAGGTTTAAATTTGCTAACCTTTCTTCCTAGCTGATATGTTCCATTCCTTTTATTAATTTTGTAGCCAGGTTCTGCACTTTTTCTAGTGCCATAATATCCAGGTGCCCAAAATTGCACAGCATATTTAAGATGTGGTCTAACCAGTGATTTATAAAGAGGCAAAATGAAATTCTCATCCCGAGAATGAATGCTCTTTTTCATACATGACAATCTCTTACTGGCCTTAGCCACTGCTGATTGACATTGCACACGGTTCAATAGTTTGCTGTCTGTAACAATTCCCAAGTCCTTTTTTTCGTGTGTTGTTATCCCTAATTCGCTTCCATTAAAGCGGCACTGTCATGCCGAATCCTGTTTTTTTTAACCCCCCCTCCACTATCTCTAATTGACCCCTTAGTCACCCCTAAATGCCCCTAAGCCCCCCATACTACCTATTTTTTATTCTTTATTTTCTGCCCTGATCTTTATTCAGGGCGCCGCCATCTTTGTGTGGGTAGATGAAGTCCCTGTGGGACACGTCATCTGCCCACACTAGACAGACTGTGAGATTCCCGCACATGCCCTGTGAAACACCTAGACATGCGAACGGGAATTTCATCTATTCATTCATTCAGACAGACGAATTAATGCATAAAAAAAAAAAAAAAATCAGACGAACAAACTAACACTGTGTATCGGTGTTCGTTCAGTTTATTACAAGGAGGGAGCTACCGGCACGCAGCTCCCTCCTTGTAATATGTAACTATAGAAGCGGCAGAGAGCTGTGCTCCCCGCCACTTCATAAGCCCCCCAGGTCCCTCCTCACTCTATGGGGGTCATAATAGCCTGGGGCTGCTCACTGTAAAAAAAAACAAAAAAAAAAAAAACACCCTACTATCCGGCGGGTGGGGGCCATGATGATAATGAGGGGGGGACGGGGACCTACTGTCCTCCCCCCCCAGACCCCCACCCCTGGGCAGCGGGTGGGGGCCATAATGATAATGAGGGGGGGGCGGGACCTAATGTCGTCCTCCCCCCACCGGCCCACACCCCTGGGCGGCGCGTGGGGGCCATAAAGATAATGAGGGGACCCCCATCCCAATCAAAGGTGACTAGGGGTCCCTAAGCCCCTAGTCACCCACCCCCCACCCAAATAAAGATAATGAGGGGACCCCCATCCCAATCAAAGGTGACTAGGGGTCCCTAAGCCCCTAGTCACCCACCCCCCACCCAAATAAAAAGGCCCCTACCTACCCCCCTCACCCTAAAAAATAGTGAGGGGGGAATAAAATTACTCACCTGTAAAGTAAAATTAAACTTACCATTCAACGTTTTTTTTTCTAAAATCTTAAATTTTTCAGCCCCAAAAAAGGCCAAATAAAAAACCATCATACCCGAACTTAAAATAAAAAGTCAGAGCGCAAAAAACAAACAAAAAACAAAACCAAAACCCAGACGAAAAAGAAAAAACCTAAGCGCAAAAAAAATAACCCATCTTCACCCATGGAGGGCTCCACAGGGCGGAGGAAGGCTTATAAAGCCTTACCCCGCCCTGCAATTAAGCTAAGAACACTGATTGGTGGGTTTAAGCCAACCAGAGTGCTCTTTGTCATTTTACACAGCGTGGGAAAATTCCAAAGAACTTTCCCACGCTGTGTAAAATGAGAGATATTTCAACAGATGCTGTATCAAGCAGAAAAACTGCACATAGGGACTCCTTTCTCCATGACCACTTCTAAAATCACAAATGGTCATGAAGTTGGAGAAACCCTTTAAACTGATTGACATGTGAAGAAAGAACAGATTTTTATTTTGCAAAACCTATACAATTACTTTGAGTAAATACCTACAAGATGGAGAGGAGAATACTTTACATATAAGAGTATAAAACTTCAAACACCAAATAATTCCAAATCAAATTTGCTTTTCAAAAATATCTCAATTTTTATACCTGGACCAAATCGGAATACTATTCCTTAGCCATTCTGTCACAGAGGGTCAAGCTGCAGTCACCCAGGGACCCTGATTCACTGGTAAATTGTTTGAAAATTGTTTAACTAAGGAAGGGTGCCCTGGGACTCCAGGCACCCTAACCATATGTTGCCTAAGACTGTCCTTTTAAGCCTGCCTCCTCCACTCTAAAATACTTCCTTCTTGTTGGTTCCTGTACTTATTTAAAGCTCTTTCTGCCCCTCCCTCCTAAACTGAAAAGGTCCAATAACTCAACTGCATGCCTTCCGGAAGAACAGAAAAAGGTTTTTGGGATTTGTAGTTTACCAAGTATTCATAAATAGCAAGTTTTAAAGGGACACTATAGTCACCAGAACAACTACAGCTTATTGAATTTGTTCTGGTGAGTAGAATCATTACCTTCAGACTTTTTGCTTTAAACATGGTCTTTTCAGAGAAAATGCAGTGTTTACATTACAGCCTAGTGATAACTTCACTGGCCACTCCTCAGATGTCTGTTAGAGATCCTTCCTGGGACATAGCTGCCTAAAATGCATCCAGACATTCAGTGTCTCCTCCCTCTGCACGCAGACACTGAACTTTCATTGATTCAATTCATCTCTATGAGGTGATGTTGATTGGCCAGGGCTGTGTTTGAATCATGCTGGCTCTGCCCGTGATCTGCCACTTTGTCAGTCTCAGCCAATCCTATGGAGAAGCACTGTGATTGGATCAGACTACCACTTCTGATGAGGTCAGCAGACTTCTTGTTTTTTTTTAGGCAAACAGCATGCAGATGTTGCTATATTTATGGAGGTATGAGGGGCCCAGGGGGGCTAGATGGTGGTTTTAACACTATAGGGTCAGGAACACAAACATGTATTCCTGACCCTATAGTGATCCTTTAAATAAACTTCAAGTTACATAAAGTTCTACATTGAGCACAACTAAGAAAGTGCAGTCCACCCTCCTCACCCCTACATACATACTAGGACACGTGTATGTTAGTTGCTGTCCTATATCTAATCTCAACAAAGAAAGTCAAAAAGGGACACTATAGTAACCAAAACAACTTTTGATTAATGAAACCGTATTGGTGTATAGATCATGCCCCTGCAGTCGCATTGCTCAATTATCTGTCATTTAGGATTTAAATCAGTTTGTTTACACCTCCCTGCATGAGACTTAAACAATTCCTGTAAGGAGTCATCTAATGTTTATACTTCCTTACTTTAAAATGTTTAATTTTACAAACGGTCATTAACGATCGCGAACGTACCTGGTATGTCATTTAGTAAATTGGCACTTAACTGATCGCTGGCAATCCCCCGTTGGCAATCGCGATCCTGGGGTCTGCCTGGGAGCTGAGACAGACCCCTAATGCCCGATCCAGCCTTCCCGGGGCCATGTGATCGCGTGGTCCTCGTGATCACATGGCCGGAATAGCCGGCTTGTGCAGTGCCTGCAGGGGGCCTGCCTGAGTTAAATAAAAGTTTATAAAATAAAATGAAAAAAAAAAAAAATGGAAAAAAAAAACAATGTAATTAAAAAATAATTATATACTGGTTTAAATTTGTTCTAACTGTATTTTGATACTAATATACATATATTTAAATCAAAATACATTTAGAATGACGGTAACCCAGGGATAAAAAGGGGTTAAAGCCATATAAGATGCTCCTTTCCCGAATACGAAGGCAACTACCGATCACTCCAATCAGCCGAACAGGAACCATACACTCTCCAAACAGCCGAACGAGAATCAACATACAAATAAATCCCCCCCCAAGTACGAGACAAAGCTCCGTATTGAGTGTCAGCAGGAATCTGGTTTATTATGGGCTACCTGCCCGGTATTTATGCAGGTTTTCCACCAGGTGGACACACACTCCTAGGGGACCTGGTGTAAAACTGGGACACATATTGTACATTATCCAATCACAGGGGGGGAAGACATAAACACTCCTCTTTTACAGTATAGGACCCTCCTCTCTGTCCTGGAGATAATTGGGAAGTAACTCAATTATCTCAGAGGACAGAGGCCAAACTCCATTTTCACAGAATAGTGAAAACACAAAAATACATAATACAAGAACTACCGAACACAATAGATACATTCCACACGTACCTTGGTGCAAACCTGAGCGCACATTATTGAATGGCGCTCAGATCCTATACACACAGTTAAATCACCATGGAGCCAAAGTCTTTCATATAGTCTTTCGTTATACAAATGGGCTCCATGGCACAGCTATCTGGGATAAGTCTATTCGTGAAAATAAACTACCGAACGGACCGGCGTTCATATGCTGTAAAAATAGGAGGGAGGCGGTTTTCAGCGGTGTTACAAAAACAGTGAGAAACAGTGTCCATTTTTAGTTCCATTAAATCATCGACGAACAACGCTGAGCATTCGTATGTCCAAGATGGCCGCCGCCTCATGGTCGGCATACGAACGATGACCACCCAGTCAGCATTTGACAATTAGGAAGTGTCTGCGGTTAACCACAACGTTCTAATGAGGCCAAGAGGTTAACTGGTTAACAAGCAGCACACTTCCATGCTGGGAGGCCAGTCGTTCAGTGAATTGTTCAGTAAAATAGAAACACGCGTGGGGACCGTACGGACAAGGAAATAGCCAAACAAACAGACGAATGAGGGAGCAATAAAAGTATTTCCCAGCTAGTTGGTTCTGTCACATGCATATATCCCCCTTAACCCCTTAGTGACCTCTGACATATCAGGTGCGTCCGACAAAAAACAGTCCTTAAGGACCGGACGTGCCCGATACGTCCGCGGCTAATTAGAGCGCTCGAACGATATTGCAGCAATGCCTTCATGTCGAGGCATTGTGCAACACCCCCTCCCCCCCACTGCAGGAGCGATCACTTACGGATTGCCCCATGTGGCGCTCGGCAGTGAGGCAGAGCATCGGAAGTCATCAGGCTTCCGATGCTCTGCCTGTGCGGAGTGCCTCGAAGGGGTCGTGAAGATTAAAATTAAAAAAAAATATAATAATAATTACCCCTCCCTCCCACCATTCCCATGTACTTACCCAATCACCGCCGTTCCCACGCCGGCAATCGCAGTTCTGCTCCACTGGGGAGCAGTCCCCCCCTCTGCAAAAAAGGACCCCACCTGCACTGTGAATGTTTGCATGGTGTGTTCAATAAAAACATATCAACATTTCATTCATTGTGTGTTATTAGTTTAAGCAGACTGTGATTGTCTATTGTTGTGACTTAGATGATGATCAGATCACATTTTATGACCAATTTGTGCAGAAATCCATATCATTCCAAAGGGTTCACATACTTTTTCTTGCAAATTATACAAATAAATAAATAAATAAATAAATAAATAAAAAGCGATAATCTTGGCACTCACCCTTTAATGCAGGTATTCAAAGAAATATTGCCTTGGTGCAAACCTCAGCGTTGTAAATACAAAAATATGCAAATAAGGTGCACTCACAGGTCTTCAAAAGTGCTTCATTTATTTCATATGCAAATTAAATGTGCACAAAAAAAATCTTCCAATAATCGACGTTTCGACCCCTATAGGGTCTTTTTCAAGACAGCCACTAGAGGGCACTTCAGTGTTTATAGCACACGAAAAGTGTGCTATAGCATCGCTGAACGTCCTCACGCTATGTGAGGACCTCCAGCGTCACTGAAATTCCCATAGAAAAGCATTGAAAGCATTTTTTAATGCTTTCCTATGGGGAGGTCTAACACGCGTGTGCGGCATTGCCACGCATTAGGTCTCCCCTGCCGGCGGCCGCGCATGCTCAATAGGTCTCCCCGCCAGATGACGGTGGGGGAGGAGCGTGGGCGGACCGTGAACCAGCACCGAGGGACATTTTTTAACCCCTTTTTTAACCCCTTAAGCAACATGGGATGAGGGGTGGGAGGGAGAGGGGACCTGCAGTGCCAGGAAAACGGTTTGTTTCCTGGCACTGGAGAGTCCCTTTAAAGTAAAGTTGTTTTGGTGACTATAGTGTCTCTTTAAGCAGCTAATGTCTTGTGTACTTTAACAATCACAGTTCTGTTTGAGAACAGTTCACACTCCACAGACCAAAATGAAAGACTTGTGATTGGCCAAAATACCTTCTAATATGGGCAAAGCTCAAGGCTGATTGTGTAATGGGAGTGGGGAAAAACATAAATGTAAGCTACTCAACTCCATTCTGACACTATAAAAGATGCATTCTGAACAATAGCTCTACTAATCACCTGATATCAGAAATACAGATATCAGAAAACCTGGGCTGCGTAGCTTAAAACATGTACTTATAGAAACAACGTGTTCAGTTCAATCCAATGCTTCTTACAGAAATGCACTGAGGACCTATGGTGCATGCAGTAATCACTGAGCTCCACTAAATGGACCCTTCTAACAGGAAAATACTGAATACTATTTTAGAATATTATTTTAGAATAGTTTTGTTAATTTAAATGTTTGGGTTAACATTAACAAAATTTGCAAGAAATTAAGTGTAAACATTAAATCTCTACAGGAAGTGTTTAGGAAGACTGTGCAGTTACTTGTAGGTAAGTGTGACTAGGGCTGTAAAGTGATTTAGCTGCTAACGTGCACCAAACCTAACAAAACAGCTTAATTAAGCTAAAGTTGTTTTGGCGACTATAGTGCCCTTTAACTGCAAATAAAATAAAGGGGTGGAAAAAAAGAAGGACCAAATCCAATGCTTTTCTTTGGAAGACAGTTGTGTGTCATGCTGTGCAAGAAAACATAGAAAGTTAAAGCATCAAACATCTAAAGCAGTTCATGAAAGTGCTTCTGGTGGCTGACAATATTACAGGCACTTAAAGTGTGTTTTAAAAGTAACAAAGCCACTTAATTAAAATAATGTGGTATGTGTGCTAAGTTTACACCTTTAAAGGGTTTCTCCAAGCACCTTGACCAGTTCCGTAATTTGAAGTGGTTATGGTACATTTCACAGAAAAGGCAGCACATGCGAAGTTGGAACTAGAGTACTGGAATTGCTAGTGAGAGTGGTCAGCAAATGCTCTGCCAGGGAATGGCACCAGTATTAGCTTCCACAGCTCTGCAGAAGCCAGAAGCATGTCAACAGACCAACAAGAAGCTTCAGAGTTCTGTGGGGACCCAATTTAGGAGACAAACGAAAGCTAAACAATTTGCTTGATTAAATATGGATTCTTTGTATAAACAAGTCGGAGACATTATGCTAAAATGCAGAGCCATCATTAAAAAAAAAAAAAAAAAAATGTATCGTGCCTGCTGAAGGCACTCCTTTTAGAACTTTGTCTCATACAGCATCTCACAGTCTTCTCACTGCTGATATAAATGAGCAGCAGGGAAGTAATTATTTGAAAATGACAGTGGTCCCAAAACATTTGTCTTTCATGTGCTCTTCAAATAAAAATGGGCCTTATCAACTAAGATATGCATAGTGTTACCTGCTGTGTTTCCTGTTCAATTGAAAATGCATGTATGCGCACATCTTGTTGTGTTAATTATGTGTGACTTTATATCCAAGTAAGCAAGAGGCTAGTTATGTGTGTATTTATAAATATACTTCTAAGCAGGTGTGTATTCTATGGAAATCTGTCAAGGCCTGTACAGACAACTGATAGTGGCTGACCTTTGTCACTGTGAACTAGGAATCCTTTTGAGTTTAACAAAAAAGTGTAACAATTGAGCATGAGCTTAAAAATTGGGTGCCAAATATTAGCAATCTTGGAATTAAACTTGCTAACTAAGACATATAACGCTCACATACCACTTTACTTTTAATCCGCATGTCCTTGAACATAGAGAGACCTTATTGCAAGTCAGTTTGAAAAAGGCACTCTTGTTTCTGTTTGTATAACTTTTTTTTATTACTTGAATGCACTGTTGAATACTTATTTATAAAATATTTTAATAGGATGGATACATTGAGATTACTCTTGTTTTCAAGCATGTCCTGGGAATATGTTGATGTTCTACAAATAAATAAAAAAATGTATAATGATCTATGCCATCATAATCCATCATCATATTCTATATTTTAATGACCCACCTAACTACTTACTTTTGGGCAGTATAGAGCAGCCAAAACAAAATAGATGACCATTTCATTTTGGCATGAATATACATAGTCAAGATTTTGATGACATAATGTAGCAACTGTTTCTAAAGGGGTCAAGAGAGTGCCATTGTTGCTATTTATACGGTACATGGCATAACTGCATCAACTGTACCACACCCCTTTTCTCAAAGAAATGCAACCTTTAATGTGCCAATAAAACACGGAACAGTAAAGTGTGTATTATTGAAATGAAAAATAATATCACTGATTGTTCTGGAAACTGAAGGTCACTTGGTTTCTGAATGTTTCCCAAACCCTGAGATGGCATAAATTTCCATTAATATACACTTCACCGTTAAGTAACATTTATTTAAAATAATAATTCAGGTTTCGAGTAAGGTAATGTCATTAATGGGAGACTGAGTTAATGGTGGCAGATGCAGATAAGAGCGTTCTCTCAATAATCTCAGGCAAGTGTGGTGACCTACACTCACAAATTTAGTTTTTAATGCATGGTGTGTTAGCACCAATAAATAAATCAATATATATATATATATATATATATACACACACACACACACACACACACACACACACACAAACACAGAGTGAGCGAGCGCACTCATTGGACTTTCAATCTTCTATTACCATCCATCTTTATTCACAATAGTTATGTGACATCTATGTTTCAGTCTCTCCAGACTTTCATCAGGATGAAAGTCTGGAGAGACTAAAACGTCGTACTGTGAATAAAGATGGAAGGTGATTTAAAGGACCATAATAGGCGGCCAGAACACTTCAGCTTAATGAAGTGGTCTGGGTGCCAGGTCCAGCTAGGTTTAACCCATTTTGCTGTAAACATAGTTTCAGAGAAACTGCTATGTTTACCTATCGGTTAATCCAGCCTCTAGTGGCTCTCATTTTTCAGCCGCTAGAGGCGTTTCCGCGCTTCTCACTGTGATTTTCAGTGAGAATGCTTTCATATGAGGCTGGCTGAATGCGCGGGCGCGGCTCTTGCCGCGCATGCAGCCGATGACGGAAGAAGGAGGAGAGTCCCAGCGCCAAGGGAGCCCGGCAGAGGGAAAAGGTAAGGGATTAACCCCGAGTATGTTTTCCTGGCACTATAGTGGTCCTTTAAAGTCCAGTGAGTGCTCTCCTTTGTATTTCCCTATATTGCTGAGGCTACATACTGCACCTTGGCAAGCATTACGAACTGGTTTGTGCAGGACTGTAGTGTGTGTGTGTGTGTATACACACAAACTTCGTAAAGAAAACCCTGGGATATATTCCTGACGATATACATCAAGCAGAACTAGCCATAAACCTGTGAATTTCTGTACAGGTGTTTAGACATCTTTGGAAATGTCACTTTGGGGTTAAACCTTCTTCAGCAGTGATTGCAAATTAAGACATCAGATGTTTCTCCACAATGCACAGCCAGCCTGGGTGAGCATCATCGGAAGTCTAGTTACAGAAGGGTTAGCCACCATTGCATTCTCACACCTAACTATTCCAGCCCGCACCCCCTTTAATCTTATGATTGAGTATGCCAGCCAAGCCTTCACTCGATCATATCTTTAGCTTCACACAATTCTGCAAGCAGACCCTGAGCTCCCCAGGTATCCCGTCCCACTGTCACAGCCAGGCCCTGATCATGCTGACATTTTAACTCTTTAGTGAATCACTTTACCTGGATAGCACCACCTACTCTGGTCATTTCTCTCCCCCTCCTTCCACCCCACTTTATCGCCACCATGCCTGGCCGCCTATGGCACTCCGTACCTAGCAGCAGCAGTTTCAGCTCCCGGCGGGAGTCTCTCTTGTCCCTCTTGAGTTGCTTCTCGATCTCAGCGTTGATCCTCTTGGACTCCTTCACCTCCTCACTCAGGCAGCAGGCCATCATGGAGTTCAGAGTCATCCCTTCCCCCCGGCACTGCGGCCCGCACCGGGGGCCTCTCCCACCCGGGGGGGAGACACTCGCTCTCTACCCCAGCTCCGAGCTTGATCACAGGCTACCGAGCATCCGGCCGAAGGTGCAGGAGGTGGGAGGGGGCGGACACCACACTCTTCCCCTCCCAGCTTAGCTCTGTGTGTCCGGGGGTTTCCGCTCCCTCAAGCCCGGAGCTGCCACAATCTAACCTGACGGCAAGAAAACAATCCCTGACAGGCCGCTCTTCCGGCCAATAGGGAGTCGCGAGATCACGCGGTGACTGGGTGGAGAATCACTCTTCACTAGGGTTTGGTTGCTCTGTTCCTGTTGGAAGCGGGGCGTGGCCGCTGAGGATTGTGGGTAAACGTACGAGGGCGCTGTACTCTGCTTGTTACCATGGAGATCAAGGCCTAGCACTTAGGCCTACCTTGGGCGACAGGCCAGTTGTGCATTCAGTGTTAGTCACAGTGTGTTCAGGAATGCAAGCTGCTGCAGGGCCCAAGTTTTAATAAATGTTTGCATTGTACCATGGTGTTTGACATGAGGGAATTCATTTCGGTCATTATCAACCAAAAAAAATATTGAGAATTTATATTATTTATATATGTTTATAAAATATTTTACCATTGGGTTTTCAAGTATTGGTGCCAAGAAACAGACCATTGTTACAATAGGGTACAATTTATATTTTTATATATGAAGAAAAGAGTGGTATGTTCTAAATCGCACGGTTTTCAGATTATGTAAATTTTGATAATAGGCAGGAAAGCAGTTCTTTGCAATACACGGAGCACAGTGTTTAACCATCCAAGCAATTTGAGCAGAAAAGTGTGTTACTGTATAAAGACGATGACCTTGCACAATGTTTTGTTTTGAAAGTGTCATAACACTAGGTTTGCTAGGTGTCCTTTATGTGACCAGACAGTCCAGCATTGAAATGACCAACATTTTCTTCTTGTTCTGTGTTTCCCAAACAAGTCCTCAGGGCAAGCACGACCGCTAGGTGGATAAGGCAGTTGCCTAGGGCACACTGGCCAAGTGGGCGATAACTTCAGGTGACCGGAAGGAGAAGAGTGCACAGCACATCGCTCCCCTCCTTCCGGTCACTACATGTAGAGTGGCGCAGCCGCTGATAGGGTTTATTTATGTTCGTTTGAATCATAAGACTAAGCCTTGTACATTGCAAGGACGTCACTGATGTGGAATCAATCAATCAATTGATTATCTTGCGTATCTGCCCCCGGCCAAATTTAAAAAGATGCGTGCACGCTCCTGAAGTAATTCACACCAGACACAGGTTTCGGGTTAACAAAAAACTTGAGGAATGTTTATTCTGGGGGGGGGACGGCGTGCCCATTATAAAAAAATTACATCATATGCATTGTCAGAGATAACATGGAATAATACATCAATAATTGGTTAGGTGTTAAGTGGTTTATTTAGTGCCCTCCCTACCGAGTGTGATGTCACTGATATCTTGGAGGTCTCCCCCAGATTCCAGCGCCATCTTGTTAATGAGTGTGTTAGTCGATGTCAAAGGGAAACTCCCTAGCGGCCATTTTAGGTAAATCACTTATAAGGTTGAATAATGCTGATTGTGGTTATGCTGAGTAAATAGGCATTTTATTAATATGAATTGGGTTAATATTTTTGTCCACAACAGTCCCCCCTTAAAATGACTATTTACTAAAGAGACAACTACTAACTTACCCTAATAATGTCCCTACTTGGCTGAGGCTCATCTGTCTGAACAGGCCTGGAACGCTTCACTGCGCGGGTATCCCGTAGTGACTAACCCACTACATCTCCCACGTCAGACTCATACCCGTGGAGACAGACGCTGTCCCTATGCTGTCTCTATAAAGAAGTAGTTGTCCTTTTGAGGTGGTGGGACTGAAGAGGTTTGTGCGGTGTGTCACAGTCTATATCGTCCATATCTTGATGTAGGAATGTGGGTGTGGTGCGGTCAATGGTCTGATCTACAGTCTTTTGTAAGTACCTTTGCACCCAGGGCATCACACAGCAAACAAGGAAGAGGAGGATAATTAGTACTGTAAGAACTGCCATACTTACTTGAAAGAGAACTCTCTGCCATCCACTCATCCATCCCAACCATCTGTCCCATGAATTGGAGACCCCTGAGTTATTTTTTAATTCGGCAAAGAGACTTTCTAATTTCTCTATGGCCATGGTTACTTTACCATTGGGGCCTGTATTATCTGGAATGAAGGTACAGCATGTCATAGTGTCGGGGAGTATTTTACACACACACGCCTTTTCTGCTAGGATCATGTCTAAGGCCATTCGATTCTGGAATTTCATTTGGGAGGTAGCCTGCAATTGTTCTGCCAAGCCTTGAAGGGCATCTCTAGTACAATTGACAAAACGTTACTGATTATAATAGATTTAATTAATCCAGTTAACATTCTTGTTAGTGGTGATGAGTGGGATCAAGGATTCGAATCCTGCTGCAACCTCATCTCTGGCCTTGAACTTGTTTGGTACCCCCCTTGGTACACCTATGGCATCGATATATATGTGTGGGTCGAAACTACCTTGAATAGGGGTTTCTCATTTTATCCTGAAATACGTGCGTTGGGAATCAAGTGGGCCTTGGTGGTTATCAGAAATTATATGTAAAGGCATGATGGCTTTGGTCAGAGTGCATTCTCCCCACCACAGGCCAATCATTTTAGATCTGACTTGCATATCACCACATAGGCAATAAATGTCTCCCAAGGACTTGACTTGGTTTACCAATAAGGTAGTGGGAGGTGTCCGATAGGTGGCACAGTAGCCGGGAGGGAAGCTACCCACAAACTTACCTGTGGTTCCGAGTATAGTGTAGCAAGTGTAATTACCTGGATACACGGTGATTCCATCAGGTGGCCTGAGATTCCCATGAGTTATTGGATATGCCTTTTTCCATGATTCACATACTGATGAGTTTGTGGCTGATTATACATAGAGGCTTAGAAAACACATCTCAGCATCGGGGGGTAGATTAAAAGGCACTGTACCCAGATGGGGTCTGGTCCCGCCCCAGACATAACAGTTAGTTTTATTGTGTGAATTAGCATTATACCTCATCCACTCGAGCCATAGGTTGGTATCTGAAAAACCGGTCTCCACAGCCATAGTGTCCTCGAATGTAGGATTGGCAATTGCCACCATGTCCCTAAGAGTTTTAATGTGTGGTTTTAGAAGGTTCGTGATCATGTGTGTAGAGTCTACCCAGTCGGGTGATGTATGCATGTCTTGTAAATAGAAGGTCCCCCTCTCCAGTACATCCCCATTACATATTCTCCATTGTCTCCTGGGCTGGGATGTTCTATGTTTAAGGTGAGTTTCATTGAGGTAGACCCTGTTGGCTTACATAAGGTCATTCTGTGTAATAAGGGTTTCCTATGTCTGTCTACCCTATCCAAGGCGCTTTGTGGTCTGTAGCCCCATGGTCGGCCTATGTTCCAACCTGCTGCTTTCCAGGTACTACAGTGATGTCCCCAATGGTCACCTGTCCCACAAATGTATAGGTCCTTTCTATTGGGTATATCTTTGTATATTGCTGAGTGTTGTGACTGTGGAAAGGTACAAGGAACAATATCACAGTAATCAAAGGTAAAAGTAGCTACATGTGAGTTTGAAGAATTAAAGCAGAATGTGTAAACATGATTATCTTTGGTAATAGCAACTTGTTGGGCCTTTAATAGGCCTAGCAGAAGAAATAGACACAGGAAGCTCATAGTTTAGCGGCATCTGGTTCCGGAACTTTCTTATAGTGGGAGACGTGTATCCAGGTATTCTTCCCAGCCAATTTTACCAAGGTAGATGTGGTCAATAAGACTTGGAATGGACCATCAAACCTTGGCTCAAGAATGTGCTTTCTCAGGAATTTCTTGACCATAACCCAGTCACCAGGGAGGAGTTTATGTGTGCCTGTATTTGATTCTGGATCTGGAATAGAAGAAAACACCTGTGCATGGATTTTGGTCAAACCATGAGAGAGTGCAGTTATATAATCTACCATTGCATCTGATTGAATTTGCCATTCATGCATTCTACCTTACCACTACTCTGTGAGTGATATGGTGTGTGGAATGCAAGGGTCACCTCCAGTCCTGCCCAGATTTCCTTGGTTAGCAACGCGGTGAAGGATGTTCCCTGGTCACTTTCAATCACCTCAGGAACTCCATATCTGCAGATGATTTCGGTAAGTAGGCACTTTGCTGTGGTCTTCGCGGTGAGATTAGTGACAGGAAAAGCTTCTGGCCACCCTGAAAACATATCCACTATGACCAGTGCATATTCATACCGGCCACTCTTTGGCATTTGGATATGATCAATTTGGATCCTTTGGAGAGGATACTGTGGCTTGGCCAAATTGTTTGGTGCGGCTTTAATTATTTTTCCCGGATTACATCTGGCGCAGATGGTACAGGATCTGCAGTAATTTCTTGTCAAAGTAGTGATTCCGGGTGCCTCAAAATATTTATCAATCAGGGAGTTCCTGAGGTGCTTGGATAAATGGGCTGGTCCATGGGCCCACTGAATGACAGCTGGGTACAGATTCTTGGGTAGACAGAATTTGAGGTTGATTGTATACACTTCATTGTGGAGGGTTGCCCCTTTATCTTTCCAACTTTGTTTTTCCTGAGGGGTGGCAGCACCCTCTTGTTCTCTTACACTTTGCATAGTGTAAATAGGAGTCTGTTCAACGAGCACTCTTCTGTTCACTTCCCGACACTGGCGTGCGCATCTTTAGCAGCCTGATCGGCTAAGTAATTACCACATGCTTCTTCTGAATTCAATCTCCCGTGGGCCTTTACCTTCAATATGGCCACCTGTTCAGGGAGCAGTAAGGCATTAATTCGTTGATAGCTGTGCCATATTTCACCGGAGTGCCTGCTGCTGTAAGAAACCCCCTTGTTTTCCAGATTAAGCCAAAATCATGTGCTACTCCCAGGCCATATCTTGAGTCTGTATAAATATTAACACGCTTCCCTTCAGACATCTTGCATGCTGCTGTAAGGGCTATTAGTTCGGCTTCTTGTGCTGACTTAGATGATGGAAGTGAAGATGCTTGGAGTACTCGGTCTTCTGTGCTGACAGCATATGCAGTATGATATTGCCCCTGTGTGTCTGCAAATCTAGAACCATCCACAAACAGGGTGAAGTCAGGATCTGGAAGAGCAGCCTCGTGCACTGTTGGGAGATGGGTTGTCTCCATTTCCATCTGTTCAAAACAGTCATGAGGGGCATCCGGGTCCTGTTCTGTAGGAGGGATGTCTTCACATATCTCTGTG